TCAGCTTTCATCTCTCGTTCAGCTTCCTCCAATTCTTCTTGCGTGAGCTCCCCTTCCTCGGGGTTTGCTGTTCCCCATCCTCCCATAGTGACCGTGCCGCTTGCTCCAGTGGCGGATGCCCAGGTTGCGCCGCCTTCTGGTTCGTAATCCTCGTCTCCCCATGCTCCTCGTCGTGCTGATTCTTCGTCCCATCCTGCCGCGACACGTTTCTCATACAGTTTTTGTTTCTTTTCTGCTCGGGCCTTTTCTCGTTCTTCCTGGACGCTCAGCTCCCCGTCTGCATCAGGATCCTTCCAAGCCGGGTCGATTTCGTGACGGTAGACTTCGCGGCTATATGGGCGCGGTCGTCCATCTTCGTCGAATGTGGTGGTGTTGGCTTCCAGGACGAACCGAAGGCTTTCTGAGTATGTGCGCTCCTCTCCCTGACGTCTGGGGTCATTTGTCGGCTCGCCGAAGATACGGTAAGATGACACTGCGAGTTCTTGTTCAGCCATGCCTGTGGGTTCTGTCTCAGCGCTCTCCGCCTCCTGAATTGCTGCGTACTCCTTTTCGACTTGCTCTGTGCGGCTCGCCGTGGGTGTGTGACAGGTGGTGCAGAGACCGTTGATGTCTGGCTTGTGCAGGTTGATCTCGCGGGGATGAGGACTGCGGCGAACCCATGGTCGTTCGTCCGGATGTTCCCATGATTCCTTGTTCATGAAGGCGAACTCGAGGGGAACAAGGTCCACGAGCTCGTCTGATGACGCTTGGCAGGAGGGTACGTCGAAGTCCAGGATATAGATCCCGTTGATTGAGCGTGCTCGTCCGAGATACTTGAACGACTCGGGAGGTGTATCCGGGGGAGCGTCGGTAAGGATGAGGTCACGGGTGGAAAGATCCGTGTGTATTATGACTCCACAGTCGCGGAGTTGTCCAGCCGAGAGCAGATTGAAGCAGAGATTCGGGACGTAGAGCACGTCGTTGAATGAGATGTGAGTGTTGTTGTCTCGTGCTTGCAGAACGACGATGCCTTGTGAATTGGCGCGCAGCTGCTCGTTGTTGGCGACGGTGACGTAGGTTGCGGGGGCGCGACTCCGGTTCGAGACGTATCGCGTGGATCCCACCATGTGCTGTCCGCAGCAGCTGTCTAGGTACCAGGTGTTGTAGTTGTCGGTGTTGTTCCTGCGTAGAAGTAGCGCCAGTCGCGGAGTCACCAAGGTTGCCTTGTAGCGCCTGTGGAAGAAAGGATCTTCGTCCTCCTTCCATCCCACTGGTACGTAATATTGGTTGTCGTGTGGCGGGCTTTCCCGCAGTGTGATTGGCTGATTCCAATCCTGCTCGTCCTCGTCATACAGGTAATAGTGATCTTCAGTGAGGGGATTGTTCCATCCCTCTTCTGGTTCCAGAAGTCGTCCTTGAACTTCGTTCTCTTCGTCAGGTTCAGCAGTGCGGCGTCGGCGCGTCGCCATGTTCGCGATGATGTTCCTGGGAGCTCCTGATTGAGATCCTTGAGTTTGCTGGTGTTGATGCTGTGCAGGAGGACGAACTGTCTGATGCTGAGGCTGAGAGTGACGAGCGTCTTGTCGGCCGACCCAGTTGTTGTGGTGAGTGGAGTTTGGGTGGCGGAAGTTGGATCGGGATTTGCATCGATCCGTTGAGTGTCCGAAGACTTTGCATATTTTGCAATAATGGCGCCTTGGTTGTCGTCGCTCTTCTCGGTTGTCTGCGTAGAAGGCGAGGCGCTCTCGGCGCGGCGCGGAGCTTGTTCTGCTCGAATCCATGTCCTGCTGTTCGGACATGAGTGCGGCGCATAGCGCGGCTTATGAGATGATCCCTCGCTGTCGGAGTAGCGCTTTACAGGGCTTCCACTCTGGCCCGAGTCCTTGAACGACTATGTTGACGAAAATCTCTTCCGAGATTGTACTCCCATGCTTCGTGATCTGGTCACGGATGTTCCGACAGCGGTTAATATACGGATTCGCTTTCTCCCCGTGCCCCATCTTTATCTCCAAAAGTTGCTGCAGAAGCCTGCTGGCGGTGACCGAATCCTTCAGCTGGCAAACTTCAACGAGGTGCTTCCAAGCGTCCAAGGCTGGAGCGTCGTTCTCTTTGTAGGAGCGAATGTTGAGTTGTTCCGCAGGCGTCATGTTGCGTAGCAGCACACTGTAGGCCATGAGGGACTCATTCTAGTACTGAGCCCTGGCGACTTCGGTATTTTCCACCGGTTTAGGGTAGGAGCCGTCGAAGTAATGGTAGATCTGCGCCGTTTGTAGGAGGAGCTCAAGCTCGAAACTCCATGTGTAGAAGTCCTTGCCGTCAAACGCGGCAGTAGTTTTGTTTTTTGAAACGCTAAGAAAGCATGTTTGCGCAGAGTTGATAGCTTCATCACTTGGACGGGGGGCAGTTGTTGTTGATTTGTCTGTGTCGAGGGAGAAGGTATGCGCGGCGGTATCACGGCTTTTCTCAGCCGGTTGTCCGGGTTGTACTGGTTGGGAAGAGGTTCCCGCATCGCCTTTGCGCAGATCTTGGAGTTCTTTCTCCATAGTTGAAAGTCGAGCGAAAAGTTGCTCGAGAGCGGCAGTGCCGATCGTGGTTGTCGCCTCATTTGTCGCAGCAGGATTGGATTGTCCTTCAGCCGTCAAATTTGCTTGGCCTCCGGATCCTCCGACCATCTTGGTCTTTGAGCGTGTGCCGCTCGCCACATCTTGATTCGGCGAATTTCACGGAAGTGAAGTTGCGAAGAATCCCTGAGTAGCTCTCATACCATGTTACAATCCCAAAGGGGACTTAGCGAAGGATCGCTCAGGGTTGATCGCAGAGTAGTGTTTGCAGCGGAAGTTTGAATCTCAGGTCAGAGTGAATGTAAATGACTGAGTTGATAATAGCATGCATACATTGGGTTTATATAAGAATACAGGGGAATACAAAAAGACGTAGGCTAGCCATGTACTCTAAGGGGTACATTCCCTTATTACAACAATTTCAAACCGTGCGGCGCGGGAACCCGTTTTTGAACCTGTTCCCGCTCTTTCCACTTCAAATGTTTTTGCCTGCATCGGTCTTGGTCAGGCGGTTGCCACGACGCTTCGACTCTTCTGACTCCTCGACTTCGTACTCGGTAGAGTCGGCTCCTGCAGCATACAGGAAAGCCTTCTCATAAAACTTCATATCGTAACACATAGCAATGAATCTCACGCCAACTGCTGGATTGCAGGTCAATGCAGAAGGCCTGAGTCACTAGGCCTACAGGTATAGACAATGGCACCAGAACCACTCCATCTCTGAATTATTACATCTCTGAATCACCACCAAGCACAGATTATTCAACAGCAATGTATTTTATACCATCATACGGTAGTTGTGAACCAGAGGTGTTCGTGAATACTTTTGTTCGCGAAACAGCTCCCTCCTCTATCTTACCGAGGGTGAAAACGCGGGAATGTTGTTCTCGCTTCATGCCGGACCAAAGCCCAGGTGCTGAACCAAACCGACCGCCTTGGTAAGGCCGAGCTTACCGTTATCCGTGCCACCAATTACCCTCCCAACCAGCCTGCAATTCATCTAATAGGCTTCAACTGAACCGTATTCTATTCCACCGCAACCTACAGCACCGTGCAAAGGCGCTCTCAAAACTCGAACCGCAAGACTTCACCAGAAAACCAGACCGTTATAGCAGGCGTCACCCACAAGCTACTTCATTCACATTTGCTTACTTCGTTCCTAACAATTCGTTTAGCAATTACTCCAATGAACCGTTAGTATCCCTTAACTCTTGTAGTAGAGGTCGTTTTAAGTCCTCAACGATGGCCCATGACCGTGATGATGTCTGTAAAAGTGTATTAACGGCTGAAATAGACAGCCGAGCTCCCTCACGTGATGCCAAGCGTCAGCGAAGAGACTGGAGATGATTCAGTGGCTAGTCCACCCCGAACGGACTTGCTGTCATCTCAAGGTACTTTCCCATGCATATATCCCATGTATGTTGTATGCGTGAAGTTTATTTGATATTCTCAAGGTCCGCTGAATAGCTGCAAGAGTCAGACGAGCATTTTGATTTGTACAAATGCGTGACATTGTTCGTTCATCCAACAGAAAGTCGTTCAAGGACTCAACCCAACATGCGGACTCGGCAACTGCGTGAGGACAAAAAAATGCAGGGTGCGAGGCTGTTAATTGACACGATCGAAAAACTCAATGCATCCCACGCTGCGAAAATGAAGGAATACGAAAACCGCATAATGGATGCTAAACCTGCTCTTGACCAGAACGGATCCCGAAGCAGTAAAAATTGCTGTGATTGTAAGCGTCGTGGTGCTACAGGCGCTCATGATGTGGGATGACGAATTCCTGGAGATGTGTGAGATGGCTACCATTGGATGTCTGTCACTGCAGAAGAAGGGTTCAATCACAGATGACAGAAGACTTTCTCTCAGTTGAAGATTTTTTTCTTAGGGCAACCCCGCTGCTGAGACTTATTTATCTGTAGAGCCTGCGTGACACTGCCCGGCTGTCCAGTTGCAGTATGTCTAATGCGGCTTTGGCAGGTCAGTGTTGGTGGGCAGCACTTTTTGCTCATTTTGCATGTGCTGCTGGTCCCCTCACATTTCAATGTGAAGGCCTGGGGAGTGGGACTAGTTGACCTTTTATGGTTCCCAGTGATGCTTTGGTCTGTAATAATGACTGGAACAGCCTGCTCAGTTGGCTTCAGCTTTTTGTTTCCGTTAGATTCGGCTACGTCCATTCTCCTGAGAGATTTTCCTCTGTTACCAGCAGAGGCAAAGGAAAGGACCTCCATTCAGCTCAGGTTGCAGTACAGAGATCATGGCGTACGGTAAAACCCAAGACCTGTGTTTGATTGCAAAATCTCAAAGCAAACAAAATCTTCAGGTACCAGGTCCACTCCAGCCTGGTTCGTAAAGAGTTTGCCTTCTATACTGTAGAGATTGCAACATAATAATACCAAGAGGTACAATACGACATAACACGATTACAACATGTTCCAGCAGGAGTGTATTGGATTCTCAGAATGTCTCCTCTCCACTCTCAATAGCGTGCAGCAGTGTCAGCTCCCCAATCAGCCTGACCGAATCAAACGGTCCCACTGCTGCCTTCACCTCCCCAGATGCCTCCTCCTTTTTCCTCACTAGAGTCCGCTCCATTACAGACAACTCGTCACCACCATCACTAATTGAGCCATCAGTATTTCTCTCGCCAGCAGCTCCGGCTGTAGCAGCACCACCACCACCAGCAAGAACGTCAATGTCACCTCCACCAGTTAAACCTTCACCCAACAGTCTCTGACTAGTAATTCCTTGTCCCCCCTGCTGCTTCAGCATCTCTGCATCTCGAGCTAATGCTCTCTGCTCCTCTGCTTCTGACCACACCAAATCCTCATCTTCCTCCTCCCCCTCCTCCGCTTCTGAATCCCCCCCCTCTCCCTCCTCTCCACTCTCTCCCTCATCCTCTTCATCCTCCTCCGTCTGATCCTGTTCTCCCCATTCATCTTCATTACTATCACCATCGCTATTGTCACCACTCCTATTGTCACCATCGCCTGTCACAATGTATCCTCCTGCTGAAGCATCAGACAGGCCCAGCAAGTCCCAGTCAGCGCTGAGCTGGAGGCGTGCCACATGGCACAGGATGGAGGCCTGCTGCCGCCACGTGGCGGCCTCGTACGCTGCCAGCACAGCAGCACGCGTGGCGGCAGCTGGCAAGCCAAGGGCCTGCTTCAGGCCGCTCACAAGCACGTTCGACTGTGATTGTGATAGTGACTGTAATGATTGTGATTGTGATTGTGATTGTGATAGAGCCGAAGGGAAGAGCTCAGGAAAAAGGCGCTGGAAAAAAGGCTTCTGTGGTTCGAAGCGGACCTGCAACAGAATAGAGCAGAGCAGGGGAGGCATGAAACACCAGGGATAAGATACTCAAGATGAGGGAAGAGCTCAGGAAAAGGTGCTGAAAGAAAGGCTTCTGTGGTTCAGAGCAGACCTGCAGCAGAGCAGAGCAGAGCAGAGCAGAGCAGAGCAGGGGAGGCATGAAACACCAGAGATAAGATACTCAAGAGAAGAGAAGAGCTGAGGGAAGAGGCGCTGAAAAAATGGCTTCTGTGGTTAAAAGCGGACCTGCAGCAGAATAGGTGAGTGGAGAACAGCAGACGCTTGAAACATGGTGGAAGCATAGTAAGAAACCTGTCAGCCTACCGCTCTCTGAATCGCTCTAAACCGCTCGGTTTAATACCATATGAACATACGTTAAAGGCAGGGTGCCGGGTAAACACCAAGTCTGGTCGGTACCAGACAACGCACTGAGCCACGTCACTCCACACTCTCGCTCAGCACCCCTCTTCACCGCCCTAAACCCACACAGTGCACACCTCAAAAGCAGGATGCCAGGTAAACACCAAGTCTGGTCAGTACCAGGCCACACACTGAGCCACATCACTCCACGCCCTCTTGGTCAGCACCTCTACACTGCTTGGAACCTCACTGAACCGCTTTGAACCACTCTCAAAGCCTCCGCAACCACTCACTACATACCTCAAAGGCAGGGTGCCTAGTAAAGACGAGGTCTGGTTGGTACCAGGCAACGCACTGAGCCACGTCACTTCATGCCCTATCTGCACCACTCTAAACTGACCTATAAATCAGTACATACCTCAAAAGAAGGGTGCCTGGTGAAAACCAAGTCTGGTCGGTACCAGGCCACGCACTGAGCCATGTCACTCCACGCCCTCTTGGGTAGCCGTCCCATCAGCCACATCTGCGCCCTGCTCTCTCTACACCACTCTGAACCTCTTCAAACACCCGTCACACCACCAAGACATACCTCAAAAGAAGGGTGGCGGGTAAAAACCAAGTATGGCCGATACCAGGCGACGCACTGAGCCACGTCACTCCACGCCCTCTTGGGCATCCGTCCCATCAGCAGCTTTGAACCAATGATACCATGTGCAACCACACGGTACACACCTCAAAAGTAGGATGCCTGGCAAACACCAAGTCTGGTCGGTACCAGGCCACGCACTGAGCCACATCACTCCACGCCCTCTTGGGTAGCCGTCCCATCAGCCACCTCTCCACCCTTCTCTCTCCACACACACTCCTGCACTGTTTCAAACCGCCCTGAACCGCTCTGAAAGCACAATACATACCTCAAAAGCAGGATGTCTAGTAAAGACGAGGTCTGGTCGGTACCAGGCCACGCACTGAGCCATGTCACTCCACAGCCCTGTTGGGTATCCATCCCATCAGCAGCTTTGAACCACTGATACCATGTGCAACCACATGGTACATACCTCAAAAGAAGGATGCCTGGCAAACACCAGGTCTCGTCGGTACCAGGCAACGCACTGAGCCACGTCACTCCACGCCCTCTTGGGTATCCGTCCCATCAGCCACCCACCTCTGCATCCTGCTCTCTCCACACACACTCCTGCACCGCTCTCAACAGCTTTGAACCACTGATATCATGTGCAACCACACGGTACATACCTCAAAAGAAGGGTGCCTTGTGAATATCAAGTCTGGTCGATACCAGGCAACGCACTGAGCCACGTCACTCCACGCTCTCTTGGGTATCCGTCCCATCAGCCACCTCTGCACGTGCTCATCCATTTTCTGGCTTGAAAACCAGACTCCTGCTGAGTCTGAAGCAACAGCAGATGCAGCAGCAGCAGCAGCAGCAGCAGCAGCAGCAGCAGCAGCAGCAGCAGCAGCAGCAGCAGCAGCAGCAGCAGCAGCAGCAGCAGCAGCAGCAGCAGCAGCAGCAGCAGCAGCAGCAGCAGCAGCAGCAGCAGCAGCAGCAGCAGGTGAATCAGGTGAATCAGGTGAAACGGAGCCGGTGGCAATAGCTGCTCCAGTTGCGGCTCGACCCGTGTTGACCTCACCAGCAGCGCCAGCTGTGCTCCCAGCATCGTGTATAGCAGCAGGGTTGTCCGCAGAATCAGTAGCTGTGTCTGTAGCAGCGGCTCGGATTTCGTGAAGGGCAGTGGTGAGGGTGAGAGGGGGGAGGGCGAGTTGAGCGACGAGCGTCCACTGCAGCCAAGGGGGCTGGTGGGGGAGAGGCGAAGAAAGGGAGACGAGAGGGGCAGAGAGGGAGGGCAGAGTAAGTCGAAGTGTGAGGAAGGTGTGGCGGCAGGGCGAGCTGGGCTACAAGCGTCCACTGCAGCCACGGGGGCTGGTGGGGGAGGGGAGGGGAAGGGGGGTGGCAGGGGAAGAGTGGTTCAGGATTGAGCATTGTGAAATTCGTCAAGGGCAGTGGTGAGGGTGAGAGGCGGCAGGGCGAGTTGAGCGACGAGCATCCACAGCAGCCACGGGGGCTGGTGGGGGAGGGGAGGGGAAGGGGGGTGGCAGGGGGAGAGTGGTTCAGAATTGAGCATTGTGAAATTCGTCAAGGGCAGTGGTGAGGGTGAGAGGAGGGAGGGCGAGTTGGGCGACGAGCGGCCACTGCAGCCACGGAGGCTGGAGGGCAGACAGGAAGGGAGGCGAGGGAAGGGAAAGGGGGAGGGGTGGGCGGGCGGTAGCAGGATACGAAAGGATGAGGACTGAGGATTATAATGAGCAGAGACGGCAGTGGTGAGGGTGAGAGGCGGCAGGGCGAGTTGAGCGACGAGCGTCCACTGCAGCCATGGGGGCTGGTGGGGGAGGGGGGAAGGAGGAGGGACAAGTGGAGGGAGGAACAGAAGGAACAGAGGGACCAGAGGTTTGGGTTGGGGCAGGTGCGTCAATACGCTTTCATGAAGGACGAGTTGTTGGGCAACGATAGGTGACATTTTGGAAGAAAGAACAAAAAAACAAGCTGGGGGGTGAAGGAAAGAAATAAACGGAATGGGGGGGGAAAAATAGAAGCGAAAGCTACAACTTTTGAGGGCCCTCACAACAACTAGAAACACTCACCCGGGATTTGGGTCGAGATTTGGGCTCTCCTGTTGCATCTGAATCGAGTGGGGTCTGCTTCTTGCGTGCAAACACAAAACAAGTCCGGCTCAACAGCCGCCCCTGGTTCCCCAAGCCCCCCCCTAGTTTCAAGAGCAACAACAGCAGCACTCACTCGGGATTTGGGTCGAGATCTGGCCTCCTCTGTCGCATCTGAATCGAGAGGCGTCTGCTTCTTGCGTGCAAACACAAACAACAAGTCCGGCTCCAAAGCCAGCCTCTGTTAGTAAGAGTACCTGCACTCACTCGGGATTTTGGGCGAGCTGTTGCATCTGAATCGAGAGGCGTCTGCTTCTTGCGTGCAAACACAAACAACAGGTCCGGCTCCACAGCCGCTGCTGGCTCCAATGCCGGTGTGGTTGGTGTGGAGACGAAGGAGTCGAGAGCCTTCTCGTAGCGAGCGCACATGTGGTTCTGCTCTGCGCTCTCCTGCTCTGTTGATGAGGAGAGATGGGGAGGGGGCGAGGAGCAGGAGAGGAAGGAATCGAGAGCTTTCTCGTAGCGAGCGCACATGTGGTTCTGCTCTGCGCTCTCCTGCTCTGTTTTGGGGGGCATGGGATATGGACGGACGGGGGGGGTGCATTCAGGATATATACCGTAGCTGTGGGGGGATGGAGTGGAGAGGAGGGAGTTGAGTAACGAGCGCTCATGTGGTTCTGCGCTGCTCTCTCCTGCTCTGTTCAGAGGAACAGGGGAGGGGCGTGGGTTTTGAGTGGAGGAAAGAGAGAGAAAAAATGTTTGACGGAAAGATGGTTTGATGAAAATGAAAAGCGAGGTAGCGAGAAGGATATGAACCATGAAGATACACACTGATACCTTCTACTACCCTGTGCCTGTGCACGCATTGTTCATGGCCCTGTGCACGCATTGATCGCTCTCCACTCACAGTCACCGCTTTGCACCCACCTTAATCAGTCTGAACCGAGCTGAACTCCGAGATCACCCACTCGTCCGTTATCTTTGCCTTCTTGTGCTTCCCCACCATCGGCGCCCTCCCCCCATACGGGCCATAGGGACTGTACAGATACACACTCACACCCATTGTTACCGCTCTGCATCCACCTTCACCGCTCTGCAACCCATTGTCACCGCTCTGCAACCCATTGTCACCGCTCTGCACCCACCTTCATCGCTCTGCACGGAGCTGAACTTTTAGATCACCCACTCGTCCGTGATCTTGGCTTTCTTGTGCTTCCCCACCATCGGCGCCCTCCCCCCATACGGGCCAAATGGACCATACAGGTACTTCTGCCTCACTCCCTCCCTTACTACCACTGTCACCACTGCGCTGCACGAAATTTCACCGATCTACACCCACCGTCACCCTCTGCAACCCGCTGTCACCGCTCTGCACCCACCTTCATCAGACTGAACCGAACTGAACTCCGAAATCACCCATTCGTCCGTGATCTTGGCTTTCTTATGCTTCCCCACCATCGGCGCCCTCCCTCCATACGGGCCATACGGACCATATAAGTACTTCTGCCTCACTCCCTCCCTGCTCCATTCTACCCTCCCCCTCTCACTCCCCCTCTCATTCCTCCCCCTCTCCCTCCTCTCCATTCTCCCTTTCCTTCTTTCTCCTTCATCCTCTTCCTCCACCTCTTCTTCTTCCTCCTCTGCCTCCTCCTCGTCTTCCCACCACTCATTGCTTCTCCCAACAATCCCCTCTCTCCTCCTCGCTCTTGCTGCTGCTGCCTCCTCTGCTGCTGCTCTTGCATCAGCCTCTGTTGGAGAGGAGAAGGGGAGCAATAATAAAAGAAGTCGAAGATTGGAATAATAATAGTAATAATAGTAATAATAATAATAATAATAATAATAAAGAAATGAACGGCTTTGCAGTACTAGCAATTTCCTCTTTCCTCCTCCAAACCCCCACTAACCTGCCTGTCTCTGCATCCGCCTCTCTGCCTTACCCTCTTTCTTCAATTCGTCCCCCTCATATGCACTCAGCAACTCCCATCCGTCCCCCTCTATTCCCTTTTCCGCCTCTCTTTTCCCAACCACCACACTGCTCACCTGCCTGTCTCTGCATCTGTCTTTCTGCCTTCCACACTTTCTTCGACTCATCCCCCTCATACGCGCTCAGCAAATCTGCGTCCTCCCCTCCTCCTCCGCCCCGCCCCCCTCTCACACCCGGCCTTGGCCCATCCCGTAAAGCCCCGCTTAAACCCCTTTCTAAACCTCCGCTTAAACCGCCTCTTGAACCTCCGCTTAAACCTCCTCTTGAACTTCCGCTGAAACCTCCTCTTGAACCTCCGCTTAAACCTCCTCTTGAACTTCCGCTTAAACCTCCTCTTGAACTTCCGCTTAAACCTCCTCTTGAACCTCCTCCGAAATCTCCTAAACCCTGATCCGAGCCACCTCGACCCATGGCCCCTCCACCTCCCCTGCTCCTTTCCCCTGCTCCTCCCCCTCCCCTTCCCTCTCCCCTTCCCCTTCCCCCTGCAACCCGCCCGAGTGTTTCGCTGCTCTCCCCCCTCTCCCGCGCGCTCCCCATATCCCCGTCTGTTACTGCAAGACCCGTGCCCTCCACGTCACGCCTGCTGCCACGTGGTCCCTGTCCACGTCCTCGCCCGGGCTGCTGACGTGGCAGATTCGCTGTTCCGCCGCCTCCCCTACCAACCGAATCCCGCCTGTTTCCGCTCTCCCGCGGATCAGATTCCGCTCCGATCGCATTCCCCCCGCCCCGCCCTCTGCCCCTTCCGCTATCCGCGTTTCCCCTGCCCCGCCCTCCACCCCTTCCGCCCCGAGTTCCCCCCTCCCCAGACGCTGCGCGCCCTCCCCTCCCGCCAGACCTTCCGCCCTCTGCGCGCCTTTCCGCGCGGATCTGGAAACTTGCAGGGAATAGGGGAAGAATGGTCCCCTCTTCTCCCCGAGCAGCTGCGGTTTCAGCGTAGAGCGAACTTTTTCGAATCCTGTGGGTGTCAAGCAATCTCAGGGGGGTTCTGGGGGAGCGGAAATGGCGCACGGGGGTGCTCGAGTGGCGCAAGCCAACAAGCGGAAGCAGCGCGCGCGGCTGCGGGGGTGAGACAAGCGCGCCCATGGCGGCGAACTGCGATAGTTACAGGGCATACGCATCTGGTGGAATACAGACGGAGTCCTGCGGGCTAGAGGACCCGCCAGAATGATGAGTCCTGTACTCGTTACAATACTGAGGAGTGCACGTACAAAAAAGACATAATATTTCTCAGTAAAAACGACGAGCATAATCCATACGCTAAAAATCAAACTCCGGTTAGAATCTATTATAACGATTGGGATGCATGCCTATCCCGTTACCTATGTAAAATATATACAACCTCTTCAAAGTCATTGACCCTTTTCAAGCTTTCTATAAAAGTCAAAGGTTTCATAACCACGTGTTTACATTATCAACTGGTCTCCCTTATCGCGGATACGTCCAGTGGCTCACGTTCCTCCACGACGCCGCAAATCGCGGCTTGCCGTTCGTCCATTTCAAAACCAAGCCAGCCGTCTCTCACAATTGCACAGCACACGTAGCACACACAGATTCTTTCATGCTCCAGCAGACTCTAACTCATGCATCACGCTAGTCTGGTCCAGTATAGTTTGTTTGGCTTGACATTCTACAAGCTTCTATTCGGTTCTGCGGGCAGACTCACCATCAGTCTTGTGGTCTCCGCAAACGGCGCCGGCGCAGTCTTGCAGTCGGAAAGCTGCATTGCCGACGCAAGCTAAATATTGCGCTTATAACTCGTTAACTGTGACTCCATACTCTATTCTAGTTCGGAAACTTCAATACACTTCTATTCGAGCCACAGTCTTCAAGCAGGGAGGCGCGTCGTTCGCTTTTTAGGAGCCACCATGGCACATGTAGGTTGCACTCGCGCTTCGTCCTTAGTTCGCCTATCGCCGCTCGTTCCCGAGCACGCGGAGTCGCGTTCACGCAAGCCCACAGTGTCACTCTCACAGCGCCCACGCACTCCCGCTCCTCGCGCCGCTTCCGTCGCCGCGATTCCCGCTGTCTCACTCCTCGCCGCATTGCCAGCGTCCGCGGCGGCGGCGCTTGCGGAGGAATCACCCGCTACCGACAAAGTGCGATCCGCCGTCGGGAGCTTAATAACTGCCGCGGAGGATCTTGAACGCGCCGCCTCGTCGGCAGCCGGAGTTGATAAAGCGCGATCCGCGGTGGGGAGTCTAGTTTCCGCCGCGGAGGATCTGAAACGCGCGGCGGCTTCCGCGTACCGCGATATTGCTGGCGCTGGCGGCGCGGGATCCGCGGGGGAGGACGGCGTGGGGGGGGATACCGCGCAGTTTGGTTCTGCGGTGGGGGATATAGTCTCTGCGACGGGAGATCTCGAACGCGCCGCTGTTGGCATTTTTGAAAAGGCTGTGTCAGCAGAAGAGAGCGTGTCGGAGCAGGTGGGTTGGACCATAGGGTTACCTTAGAGTTACCACTCTTGGCCTGTGGCATTTTTCGACGCGCTGTGTCAGTGGAAGAGAGTGTGTCGGAGCAGGTGGGTGATAGGAAGTCAGGGTTACTATGGGGTTACCGTGTTTGACGGGCGGAGATGGTGGAAGAGAGCGTGTGGGCGGAGCAGGTGGGTAATATCAAGTCAGGGTTACTATGGGGTTACCGTGTTTGGCGGGCGGAGGAGGCGGAAGAGAGCATGTCGGAGCAGGTTGGTGAGGGGAAGACAAGGGAGGGGGGGATTATGCGCAGTTCTTTTCCTCCGGCGAAGTTTATTAGTACTGACACTAACGAGAAAGTGACTAACGAGAAGTTGAGTAGCGGAAAAGTGACTCCCACTCGTTTGATGCCTGTGAAGCTTCTGCGGCTGGCAGCAATGCACAGCAGGCGGAGCGGAGAATCTTTCTGGATTTTGGTGGAGAAGCACTACAGACGGACTTGTGAGAGGTTTGGCGAAGTTAATGTCTTTCTTTCTTTCTTTCTTTCTTTCTTTCTTTCTTTCTTTCTTTCTTTCTTTTCTCCTCGTGAACCGTGCGTGCATGCAGGTGGGCAAGCTGCTTGGGTCGGGTGCGGAAGCGACGCAGAAGCTTCTGGAGTCCGGCGGGGAAGCATTGCAGGCGGACACATCAGGGGTGGCGAGGATGATTGGCGACGCTGCCGGCGCAGGGATGGAGGCGGTTGAAAAACTATTTCAGGAAGGGGCTCCTGCACTGGATGGCGTGTGGTCGGTGAGTGAATGAGAGATTGGATGGCCGGTGGTGCTGGAATCCGGGGGGGGAACAATTCAGGCGGACACAGCAGGTGGGTGGGGGTAAGACACGGGGAGGTGTCAACGGGTGAAGAGCACTGCAGGCGGACACAACAGGGGTGGCGAGGAAGATCGGCAATGCTGCGGGCGCAGGGATGGAGGCATTTGAAAGACTGCTGGGAGAGGGGACTCCATCACTGGAGGGCGTTTGGTCGGTGAGTGCGTGGGAGAGTGGGTGTCTGGTGGGGAAGCACTGCAGGCGGATACGGCAGGGGTGGCGATACACCTCCGTCCTGCTGATACACTGTCATGTCTCCGTTATGCTGCCACATGCGCAAGGCGTTACCATAAAGATCTGTGCATTGCGAACTAAATCACATTTTTATCCATTGCGAATGCCAATCCCGGCTGCCTATCTGCCTCTCTCTCCTTCCCCACTCCCTTCGTCCCCTACTTTTCTTCTCTCCATTCCAGCTCTCCCTCCCAACAAACGGAACCATTTTCAACACTGTGTCATCAGCATCCGCGTTTGTAACAGCTCCTTTAAGCACAGCGTGGGAAGCAGTGCAACTCACTCCAACCAGCTCCGGTCTCCAAACAGTTGCATTTTACGCCTCCATGAGTGTCTTTCTGCTGGCACTAGCCAGTCAGCCAAGAGAATAGAGCAGCAGTTCATATTGAGTCTATGAAACTGTAAGCTCTTATGTTCTATTGGGTGCGTTGCATGCTAAGAGGCCATGAAGGATGAAGGCCATTATATAATGCACTTGCTATAATGACCGAGCTCTGCAGTGCCTTCTATAGCTGTATTTGTTTCATCTTAGAAATCAACAGAAGTCTATATCGAGGTAGGGATGTTTCACGCTTATGGTTTCCTCACGCTGTACCGCTTTAGAACGAGAAGCACCGAAGAAAACAGTGATCAGTGGCACCAAAAACGATCGTGCGGTACACGCCAGACACCACAATTCTGATCAGAATTCCTCATCACGTCAATATCGAGGCGGGATGTTTCACAACGGCTATCTGGCTCATCTGGTTTTCTGAATCATACTTTTCTATTGGCAGCTATGGCTGCTGCTGCAGCTGGTGCAACGCTCCCGTACAACGGCTGTTTGTCCACCATACAGACAGCAGCGTCACCGTCCGGCCGTGTAACCAGAAACCACGGGTTGCTCGCCTCTCTTCGTCTTTCTCGCCCGTTGCATTCGCAATTTCAGTCGCGTCGTTCGGTAACGACACTCCAGAAGCAGCTTAAAACGAGGACAGGTCGGAGAAGTCCGGTTGTTTGCTCGTTTCACGAGTCGCAGATGGGTCAGCCAGACGCGATCAGCGATTTCGAGAGGAGCATTTCGGACGCGGAGTTGCGAGGGATGGTGGACGAATCGCTAGTTTGGTCCTCGCTCAACGGACTGGTCGTCGGCGATCAGACGGTCGAGGTAGGCTCAAGGGAAGATCGGACGGTCGTGCCGAAGCTGGACGGTTCTAAAAAGTTTAGAGGGTGACGAGAACGAGTTGCGAGGTAGGCTGTTCTGAGTCAGCGATTTCGAGAAGAGCATTACGAACGTGGAGTTGCGAGGGATGGTGGACGAATCGCTAGTTTGTTCCTCGCTCAATGGACTGGTCGTCGGCGATCAGATGGTGGAGGTACACTAACAGGAAGATCGAACGGTCCAGGTAGTTAGAGGGAAGATCTGGCGGTCGAGGTCGCCTAGAAAAAAGTCTGGCCGGTCCGTTTATTTTGTTAGGCAGTCGAGGTAGCCTCTGTGTCCATTTCGCGAAGTGTTCAGCTAGCGTTTTCTTCGACGGTTCAGGTTTGGTTCCTGTGCTTCACGACTGAGATTGGTCTTCCCCTGTCCTCCAACATCTCAGGCTCGGAAATTTCCATGCATGCATCCCCCCACCAACCTTATCCATTATATGCTGTGCAGGACTCGGGTTCCATTTCTGGATCGGGCCTGGTTCCCGCGCCAGTGACGCTGCTCCCCACGCCCTTCCCAGCACACCATGTCCATTCAACCCCCCCCACCAACCTTGTCCGTTCTGTGCTGTGCAGGACTCGGGTTCCGTTCCCGGATCAGGCCTGGTTCCCGCGCCAGTGACGCTGCTCCCCACGCCCTTCCTAGCACACCACTTCCATCGAGCCGTGGAGCTCGCCCCTCTCTTCAACGCCCTGGTGGATGCCGTCAGCCAGGACGCGGATTTCCTGCAATCCACACTCGCAAGGTGAGTTGACCACACACCTCAGCTTCCTGAGCGAGTGAATTCGCTCCCCACCCCACGCCCTTCCCAGCACACCACTTCCATCGGACCGTGCAGCTCGCCCCTCTCTTCAACGCCCTGGTCGATGCCGTCAGTCAGGACGCGGATTTCCTGCAATCCACACTCGCAAGGTGAGTGATCCAGGCTGGTGTGGTGTGATAACTGTACACGCCTGGTTACCATGCAGGCCTGGTTTCATCGCCAGTGACGCTGCTCCCCACGCCCTTCCCAGCACGCCATTTCCATCGAGCCGTGGAGCTCGCCCCTCTCTTCAACGATCTTGTGGACGCCGTCAGTCAGGTCGTCGTGTGGTAACCGCACTGGCTTGGTCGCTGCGCCAGCGACGCTGCTCCCCACGCCCTTCCCAGCGCACCATTTCTATCAAGCTGTGGAGGTCGCCCCACAATCCACACTGGTGGATGCTGTCAGTCAGGACTCTGACTTCCCGCAATCCACGTGGCAAGGTAAGCACACACTCTCTCTCTCTCTCTCAAGCGGTCCGTGTATTAGATCCGAGCAAGGTACAGACATGCACAAGGCTATAAGAAGCAATGCACCTCAGCCTCTAAAACCCTCATATCCTACCTACTCTCGTTCACCCTCTAAGGCAGCTCCAATGCAGGCTCCAGGATGGCAAGGCAGTCCCCGAGGGACATGCCTTCGCCCGGCAGCAACACAGGTGGGTTCTCCACCTGAGCCGCATAGTTGCACTTCGTCATGAAGCTCACCGACTGCGCCCGCTGCAGCGCCACGGACCACCGCTGGCGGAACTGATGCAGCAGCTTTGTTGCCTGGTAAGATGAGGGGGCCGCATTGAAGAGCCTGCGCGCGCCGGTGTCGGCCAGAAGTTTGAGGAATTGAGGGACCTCCGCGCAGGGGCAGCCATAGGTATCAACGGCGAGAGGGAAGAATCCGACCCACGAGGCCGTTGAGCCCTCGTAGTCGGAGATCTTTTTCTCTGCCGCCTTCCTGGCCGCCCACCCCCTGCCCTTGACCGCGTTGGGATCCCGTGTGCTAATGGGGTCCGTGATGGTCACGTCCCCTATCCACACTGCTCCTGAGGACTTGTCCCGGATCGCAATGTCGGCTTTCTTCAGAGTGACGGGGCAGAACGCGGTCGTCCTACTGTGAGTCATGAAGTCAGCGTCGGCGGCCATGTGCAGGCATGCATCGCGCAGTTCATTGTGCGTGTTGGTCCGCCCCTTCCCTGTGTCGCAGCGCAGCAGGTGGTTGGGCAGCCGCCTGTCAAGGATTGCCGTCTCCTTGCGGCAGTCACACGCGCCAGGTGCCGAGGAGGGTAACCCCATCTGGAACTGCAGCGCATGCGCAAAGTGAGCCGGGGCAAGCCGTAGTGTCGAGTTGAAGGGAACTGCATTGAGCCAGTCTCCTGCCCCATACCCTGAGAGTGAAAGCATGCGCTGAGTGTGCCCGCTTAGTGGGTTGAGTGGCATGATGCGTGTAGCCTGCACCTGCTCCGCGTAGCACAGTCCGTGGACCGCGATTGCCAGCCCGTGCTGCAGCTTGACGCCCTTGGGATCAACTCGGTCGCTCTGCAGCAGCTCCTTCCCATCGTCCGGCAGTGACTCCTCACACCTCTCCAACCAGTCAAAGAGCGGGGACGTGTTGATGAACGCCCCACTTTTGAGAATTCTCAAAAGTGATTTCGATAGAGCGGGGACGTGTTGATGAACGGCCCCACCATCTTGGGACACCTGGCACCCATCCATCCGGATCCGCGTTTCCGCCAAGGCGCCGACAGCCGACTCATCAATGGAGGTGAGCAGGTGCTGCGCTTGCGTGTAGCTTGCGAGGAACACAACACGTCCCTCCACCGAGGGGTCTGTGAGACCCAAACCGCCGAGCGAGATGGGGAGTGACGCTTGCGCCCAGGTACGTGAAATCTCTCTCTCTCTCTCTCTCTCTCTCTCTCTCTCTCTCTCTCTCTCTCTCTCTCTCTCTCTCTCTCTCTCTCTCTCTCTCTCTCTAGCACTCTACTCTACCTGCAATGGCAGGAGTTTTATGCCTCAGGAGTCACTTCACCTTGCTCCTCGCTTCAACGACCCAGTGGGTGCTGTCAGTCAGGACTCTGACTTTCTGCAATGCGCACTGGCAAGGTGAGCTCTCTCTAGCACGCTACCTGTAGTGGCAGGGGTTCTAAGCCTCAGGAGTCACTTCACCTCGCCCCTCGCTTGAACGACCCGGTGGGTGCTGTCAGTCAGGACTCTGACTTTCTGCAATCCGCACTGGCAAGGTGAGCTCTCTCTAGCACGCTACCTGCAGTTGCAGGGGTTCTAAGCCTCAGGAGTCACTTCACCTCGCTCCTCGCTTGAACGACCTGGTGGGTGCTGTCAGTCAGTCACGTCAAAACTACTGACAGCATCCTCAGGACATTGATTTACTCCTTTACAGTGCCACGTGTCTGTCCCCTTGTCTCACCTGTGAATCAATCAGTCTCCCCTTCACCCAAAACAAGCGCAGCACCACTGAATGCAACCTCATCCCATGTTATGCCATGCCATGCCCTCCCCCTGTTTCAGTGCAGGGCGCTCTGACTCTTTCACAGCCGGTCTCCTCCGAATACACGCGGAGATAATAAAGGAGGGCATACAGCAGGTGAGCAGCCTGCAAACAAGGGAGCTAAGCAGGTAATCTGTGAGGGAAGCAAGTGAGCTGAGACAGTATAGTGCTTCCGGTGGATTGCTGCACATGTAAGCACACAGTAGGTCTTCTCCTAATACACGTGGCCTTTGAGTCGACTCAAAAGCACAGTAGGTCTTTTCCTAATACACGTGGAAATACTCAAGCATTGAATTCAGCAGGTGAGCAGCCTTATACCCATTATTACCCCAGCCCATATGTTTGAAGTGTAGTTTTGAGACGTCTCAGAGATACTCGAGCATTGAATTCAGCAGGTGAGCAGCCTTATACCCATTATTACCCCAGCCCCCATGGCTGGGCATGCACAGATCTGACTACATGCTGGATACAGTCATAGGGGGCGTGCTGCAGGTGGAGCTCAATCAACACAGGATTAAGTGGCATTCCTCCCCATCCGTCCCCACCCCTCTCCACTGCCTCTCCACTGCTCTTCACCGCTCTCCACCACTCTCTACAGCCTTTACGGTTGGGCATGCACAGGTCGGTCTACATGCTGGACACAGTCACAGGGGGTGTACCGCAGGTGGAGCTCAACACATAATCACCAGTCATTGCTCCCCATCCCTCCCCACCGTTGTCCACCCATTTGCATCTCCCTCCACTGCTTCTCCACCACCCTCCACCCCTCAGCCAATAAGGCTGGCTGGGCATGCACAGATCGGACTACATGCTGGACACAGTCACCGGGGGCGTGCTGCAGGTGGAGCTCAATCAACACAGGATTAAGTGGCATTCCTCCCCATCCCTCCTCACCCCTCTCCACTACCTCTCCACTGCTATCCACCACTCTCTACAGCCTTTACGGCTGGGCATGCACAGGTCGGACTACATGCTGGACACAGTGACAGGGGGCGTGCTGCAGGTGGAGCTCAATCAACACAGGATTAACTGGCATTCCTCCCCATCCCCCCTCACCCCTCTCCACTGCCTCTCCACTGCTCTTCACCGCTCTCCACCACTCTCTACAGCCTTTACGGCTGGGCATGCACAGATCTGACTACATGCTGGACACAGTGACAGGGGGCGTGCTGCAGGTGGAGCTCAACACCATCTCCTCCTCCTTCCCTGGGCTCACTTCAAGGGTCACAGAGTTACACAGGTATGCGAGAGGAGCGATTAGCGGCGGTAGAGGGTATTGCAGTGCAGGTTCTGGCTGGCTGGTATTGCTGGACATCGTCGCCAGGGGCGTGCTGCAGGTGGAGGTCAACACCATCTCCTCCTCCTTCCCTGGGCTTACATCTCGAGTCACAGACCTGCGCAGGTGAGTAAAGGGGAGGGTGTGGGGCAGGGGCTAGGGTTGTAAGCATGAGAAGGAGCAGGGTTGGTGTCACAGGAGCTCAACACCATCCCCTCGTCCTTCCCTGGGCTCTCGTCTTGAGTCACCGACCTGCACAGGTGAGCAGTGAGAAAAACACAGAAGGCTTGGGATGGGATGGGATAGATAGATAGAGGGTATTGCGTAGTAGGGGAGAGGTGGTGTTGCAGGGGATGGCCTTGCAGGGGTCGTGCTGCAAGTGGAGCTCAACACCATCTCCTCGCCCTTTCCAAGGGTTCATTTCCCCAGTCACGTAGCTGCACAGGTGGATAAGAGCCTTTCGGGGTGCAGGGGCAGATGAGGGTAGCAAGAGGAGTGAGTGCATTCCTTATTCCCCCCTTCTTTTCTGTCCCTGCTGTCACTGGTCACAACCCCCTCGCCAGGTACTTGGTGGGGATGTATGGCAAAACGGCGGGTCTGTTAGTGAGTGCTGTGCCTCCCAACAAGGCAGCAATGGATATGAGAATACCCCCACCTCGTCCTTCTTCCCCCTTTCTTTCATGTCCCTGCTGTCTCCCCCCTCGCCAGGCACATGGTGGGCATGTAGGCGAGAAGGCGGGTCTGTCAGTGGGTTCTGTGCCTCTCAATATAATAGCCACAGGTGTGATAACACCTCACCCATTGCACCCTCTTCCTCTGCTCTTTCTGTCCCTCCTCTCACCCACCCTGCCAGGCACATGGTCGGGATGTATGGCGAGAGAAGGCGGGTTTGTCGGTGGGTGCTGTGCCCCTCAACATAGCAGCAATGGACATGAGAATATTAACACCTCCGCCTGTTCCCCCGTACTCTTTCTGTCCTCCAAACCCCCCCTGCCTGCCAGGCACATGGTGGGCATGTATAGTGAGAAGGCGGGTCTGTCGGTGGGTGCTGTGCTTCTCAACACAGCAGGAACCGTACATGAGAATATCACACACCCCCCCCTGTTATCCCTACTCTTTCTGCCCCTCATCTCACCCATCCTCCTAGGCACATGGTGGGGATGTATGGCGAGAAGGCGGGTCTGTCAGTGGGTGCTGTGCCCCTCACACAGCAGCAACGGACATGAGGATACCCCCACCCACTCACTGCACGGTCTTTCCCTACTTTGTTTGTCCCCGGCCATCCCCTCCTCCCCCCCCCTGCCAGGCACATGGTGGGGATGTATGGCGACAAGGCGGGTCTGTCGGTAGATGCTGTGCCTCCCAACACGGCAGCAACGGACATAACAAAGTACTCTGCACCTTCCCATCCCCGTTTTCATCCCCCCTCTCAGGCCCATGGTAGGGATGTATGTTAGAAAGCGGCGGGGGGGGGAGAGGGGCAGTGCGGTAGAGGAAGAGACGGTAAAAGGGAACCGACTCGTCGAACGTGACGTCCTGGGAGGGGAAGACACGGCGCGAGGTGGGGTGGTAAAACTGCCAACCAGGCGCGTCAGGGACAAAGCCAAGGAAGACACAGGGAACAGCGCGGGCGGAGAGCTTGTCCGCGGTGGTATCGCGGACAAAGGCACGAGCACCCCAGACCCGGAAACGCGACGCATCGCCAACCTTCCCCGTCCACAGCAGTGTGGGCGAGGTCTCCGGCAAGGAGACACGGGGCCAGAGGTTGAGCTGATGCGCGGCGTACCGGACCGCAAACGGCCACAGAAAATGGGGGGCAGCCGCATGGATCATGGAGGTACGAGCGACCTCCATGACTAAGCCAATGCGGCGCTCAGCAACCCCATTCTGCTGCGGAGAGGCCGGAAGCGTGAACGTCTGGCGGATGCCGTGCTCCGCACAGAAGGCTACCAAGAGGTCGGAGGAAAACTCCCCACCTCTGTCAGAGTGCAGACGCAGGACGGGAAACTCCGTCCCGAACAGACTGGAACCGCTCGCGGAGCTGGAGACGAGTAGCGCGGATCCAAGGGATCAAAACATCAGGGACCTCACCCTTGGTGCGTAAGGGGAAGACCGTGGTGTAACGCGTGTAGTCGTCGACGACCAGCAGGAAGTACCGCTCGTGGCCCGGTCCACGGACGCGGGCTGGGCCCCACACGTCCAGGTGGAGAGTCTGCAGGGGAGCCTCTGTGGGAGGGAACAAGGAGGAGTGAGGAGCGGCGCGTTGCCGCCCCTCGACACAGGGAAGACAGGGAGGAGCAGGCGAGGGTGGGAGGGGAGGGAGAACCCTGGGAAGACCAGAGACAAGGACACGGCGGTGCATGCTGCGAAGGCTCTGCACCGAGGGGTGACCAAGGCGGTGGTGCCAAAGGAGGGTCTGGTGCGACAAGGCGCGACACGAGCAGGGGGCCGACAACTGACCTGACGCAGACGCAGACGCAGCTACCTGAGGGGACTCAGTGGTCAGTGTGTACAGGCCCGACCCCGGCTGCCGAGTGAAGGTAGCCAGGTGACGACCCGTCTGAGCCTATGTTGCGCCTGACGCGTCAGGCGTTTTTGACGCTGGCGTCTGGACAGGGCGTCCAGACGCTTGACGCCCGGTGCCCTCTGCCCTGGACGCCCGCTTGACGCTATTCCGGGCAGGGCAAAAATGTTTTCCGGGCAGGGGTAAAAAAACCTGCCTAGTAAGGATACGCAGGGGTTAGAATGCAAGAAGTTCACATTTGTCACCTATAGTTATAAATACTCCATAAAATCCAGAAAATCCTGAAAATCTCCTAATCTCACACACAAGTTAAATACTCCTGACCTAGATCTGGTTCTCTAGTTTAGTTGGGGGTCGACCAGGTTGGGAGAAGTAGATGTGGATGGGTACAAATGTGTGGGGGGGAATAAATGAGGGTTGCGTTTTTTAGGTAAAAAACGCGGCCCCCAGTTGGCAATTTCATCGTCAATTCTGGTCGCGATGAAATCGCAAGTCAATTTCGCAGGAGATTTTTTTTTCGGGCTGCCCGAATTTTTTTTCCCCGAACGTCCAGCGTCAAACCGATTTGATGCGTCCAGCGTCCGGACGTTCACGTCCGGACGCTGGACGCTGCCCTTCCAGGGCGTCAGGTGCAACATAGGTCTGAGCACACGTGCAGTGTGTCACACGCTCGTAGGCAGGGGTGAACTGGTGAACACCCGCGTCCTGGAGCGCAGAACCCGCCACCAAGTTCGTAGAGAACGAGGGGAGGTAAAGACCCGACAGTGTGCCGGACGGGACAGCAGGACAAGGGAGGACAGTGGAGGAGGTCGCACGGACTGGACCCCCAGAGGGGTCTGCCAGGGAGACTCGAACCGGCCGACTGAGCGGCGTGAGGGTGGTGCTGTCGCGAGTGAAGGAGCGAGAAGCACTGGAGTCAAGTGTGAAGGCCTCAGCAGACGCAGTACCAGAGAGAGCAGACTCACCAGCACCTGGAGCAGCAGCCTCACCAGCGCCTAGAGCAGGAGACGCACTAGCACCTAGAGCAGCAGCCTCACCAGCACCTAGAGCAGCAGGCTCTATACCTGGGTCAGGCGGTACGCAGAGGTAACAGGCACGGTCAGCACTAGTAGGCAATGCACACATGGCAGTGAGAATAGCATCATAGTCAAGAGCAAATATATCTACCCTCTGCCCAAGCAGCTCCACCCAGTCGGGGAGCTCAGCCTCGTCGCCAAACTCGGTACGCCAGGCGTCACTCAGACGGGCGAAGCAGCGGGACTGTGTGTGACTAAGCGTCCCGCAAGCCTGACCCGTCCGATCACCTGTGCGAATGACGTACGGGCAGCGAACGGTACTCAAAGACCCTCTACTCTGAGCGTACCACTCACGAAGCTGCTGGGGCGTAAGTGTCTCGTGCGGACGCCGCTGCAGCTGCAGCTGGCCACTGCCAGACGCTCCCGACTGACCAGCTCCCGGGCGACAGCCACGACGGCTACCGCCACAACCCCAACTAGCGTACCACTCACGAAGCTGCTGGGGCGTGAGAGACTCGCGCGGACGTCGCTGGAGCTGCATCTGGCCACCGCCAGTAGCAGCAGTAGCAGTGGTGGTGGCAGTAGTAGCAGCAGCAGCGCGGGCAGGGCAGGCGCGGCAGGCAGGTAGGCAGGCAGGCAGGCAGGCAGGCAGACAGGCAGGCAGGCAGGCTGGCAGGCAGGCAGGCAGGCTGGCAGGCAGGCAGGCAGGCTGGCAGGCAGGCAGTGCGCTAACAAGGCAGGTGCTCACCAGTGGCGGGAAGAGCAGGCGCTCGCCGGGCGAGCAGGGCCGGCGCTCGGCGGGCAGCTGCACGGGGTCCAGGGGCGGCGTCGCGGGTCCAGGGGCGGCGTCGCGGGGTCCAGGGGTGGCTGCACGGAGTCCAGGGGCAGCTGCTTCAGGGGCCAGGGGCGGCTGCTCTGGGTCCAGGGGCGGTTGCTCGAGGGTACAGGGGCGGCTGCACCAGGGGCGGCAGTTGCAGGGGCCAGGGGCGGCTGCTCAGGGTCCAGGGTCAGCTGCTCGAGGGTCCAGGGGCGGCTGCACCAGGGGCGGCTGCTGTAGGAGCCAGGGGCGGCTGCTCTGGGTCCAGGGGCGGCTGCACCAGGGGCGGCTGCTGCAGGGGCCAGGGGCGGCTGCTCGAGGGTCCAGGGGCAGCCGCGGCGCGTGGGCCTGAAGCGCGCAATGCGAGCTGCGAGCGCGGCGCGCGAAGCCGCCGCGGGCTGCGCGAGGACGGCAGCCGCGGCGTGCGGGGCTGCAGCGCGACGTGCGGGCAGCTGACGCGACGCGCGGGGCTGCAGTGCGACGCGCGAGGCTGCAGCGCGACGTGCGAGCAGCTGACGCGACGCGCGGGGCTGCAGCGCGACGCTAGAGGCTGCAGCGCGACGCGCGGGGCTGCAGCACGCAGCGCGGGCTGCGGACGTGGCGCGCGGAGCAGCAGCGAGCCGCGCGCGAGCTGCTGCAGGGCGGGGCCAGGTGGGGCCGCGTCAGTGGCAGGTCGTGGCCGCGAGGAGGGGCGGCGCTCTGGCCTGACGGGCCTGCAGGGGCGGCTCGCGGGCCTGACGGGCCTGCAGGTGCGGCTCGCGGGCCTGACGGGCCTGCAGGGGAGGCTTGCGGGCCTGACGGGCCTGCAGGGGCGACGTGCGGGCCGTACGAGTCTGCAGGGGCGGCGCGCGGGCCTTACGGGCCTGTAGGGGCGGCGCGCTGGCCTAGGGCAGCAGTAGGGAGCGCGAGGGCTGCAGGACGGCGCGCGCAGCGCAGCACGTCACAAGGCAAGGCAGGCAACACATGGGGTAGCGTGGTAACCGCAACGGTAGGTGGGCCCGGAAAAAAAAAGACGGTCCCATGGACCTAGTGCTCTGAAACCATGTTAGAAACTAGCAGCAGGAATGAATGAACTATGAAAGGGTTGGGTACAAGTATGAAACCCTAAAAGGGGCTGTACCCCATATTGGCTACCCCACTACAGCCTAAACATATATAGCATATATATATACTTTGACAATGTATGGGGAGAAGGCGGGTCTGTCGGTGGACGCTGTGCCTGTCAACACGGCAGCAACAGGCATTATAGCACCTCCACCTTGTGTTAATTCGCTCCTTCACATTCTGTCCATGCTGTCTGTCACCCTGTTCCCTCATCCCCCTCCCAGGCACATGGTGGGGATGTATGGGGAGAAGGCGGGTCTGTCGGTGGACGCTGTGCCTGTCAACACGGCAGCAACGGACATGGCAGATGCACTGGCGGCGGCATGGAGAGAATACGGGGATGAGAGGTAGGTGGGTCACGCTAGTCTGCGTAACACAAGGTGATTTGACGTAGGAGGGTCTGTCGGTGGACGCTGTGCCTCTCAACACGGCAGCAACGGACATGGCAGATGCGCTGGCAGCGGCATGGAAGGAATACGGGGATGACAGGTAGGTGAAGCACTCACGATGCTGTGCAGTAGTTCTGGATGCTGTGCGGTAGTGCTGGGTGCTGTGTGGTAGGACCCGGTGCTGTGTGTGCAGCAACAGACATGGCAGATGCGCTGGCAGCAGCGTGGAGGGAATACGGGGATGAGAGGTAGGTGGGTCACGCTGTCATATGGTAGTGCTGGATGCTATGTGGTAGGGCTGGGTGCTGTGTGGTAGGGATGTAGGGATGGGATGGGTGCTGTGTGTTAGGGCTGGGTGCTGTGTGGTAGGTCTGAGTGTTGTGAGCTTAAACCGTTGCAAAAGCCAGAATGCAGCACGTACGGCCAGCACTGACCGGCACAGCACGTGTGAACCCCCATATGTTTTTTGAGAATTCTCAAACACCATGTACGACCAGCACTGACTGGCTGGCACAGCACATGTAGCCCCCCACCCACCCATCCATCCCTCTTCACCATCCCCCTTTTCTTTCTACTTGCCCTCTCCCTACCAACCCACCCCAAACCAGAGCAGCTCTGAGCTCTCATCTTGATGGTGGTGCAGAAGCCAGAGCGCAACATGTGTGCAACATGTGTGCACAGTGCAACTACCTCTGTCTCCCACCACTACCCTGCCCTTTCTCCACCCCAAACCAGAACAGCTCTTTCATCCTGAAGATGCTGGTGCAAAAGCCAGAGCGGAATATGTACGACCAGCACTGCCTGTCCTCCCACCACCGTTCCCAATCTCTCCCCACCTGACCCCACCCCAAACCAGAGCAGCTCTTTCATCCTGATGGTGGTGCAGAAGCCAGAGCGGAACAGTATGACCAGCACTGCTTGTCGCGGCACGTGTTGCCCCCCATCCCTCTTCACCGTCTCCTACGTACCTTTTTACTTGCCTTCTCCCCACCACACAAAACACCCCAAACCAGAGCAGCTCTCTCATTTTGATGGTGGTGCAAAAGCCAGAGCGCAACATGTACGACCAGCACTGCTTGGCACAGCTCATGTGGCGTGGTGTGGTCTGCCATTCTTCACCTTCCCTTCCCCTGCCCTCCCTCCCACTTGCCCTCTAACTGCCACCACACACCCCCAGAGCAGCTCTCTCATCCTCATGGTGGTGCAGAAGCCAGAGCGGAACATGTATGACCAGCACTGCTTGTCGCAGCTCGTGTGGCAGAGGCACGGGATTAGAGTGCTGAGGAAGAGCCTCAGGGAGGTGCAGCAGCAGGGAGCGATTACAGACACAGGCGAGCTAACAGTGTGAGTTCAGTCGCACAAAGAACAAGGGGCATAGCATGAGATCTGTGCAGCTCGTGTGGCAGAGGCACGGGATTAGAGTGCTCGGGTGGAGCCTGAAGGAGGTGCAGCAGCAGGGGGCAATAACAGACAGTGGCGATTTGACAGTGTGAGTGCATGCCTGTGCGTGTGTGCGTGCATGTGTGTGTATGTACGTGTGAGTGTGAGAGGGTGTGGCAGAGGCACGGGATTAGAGTGCTGAGGAGGAGCCTGAAGGAGGTGCAGCAGCAGGGAGCGATCACAGACAGTGGCGACTTGACAGTGTGAGTGTGAGTGTGAGTGTGAGTGTGAGTGTGTATTTGTATGTGTCTGTGTATGTGTGTGTGAGTGCGCGTTTGTGTGTGTGTTGTGTTGTCAGTGTGAGTGCGAGTGTGAGTGTGAGTGTGAGAGGGTGTGCAAGATGAAGCCAGCATATACGACCAGCACTATCAGTGCTGAAGGTGTGCATGTGTGTACATGTCTGCATAAATGAGCTGACCTTTGAATTGACTCAACATTCAGCAATGTGAGTGCTTGCGTGCATGCGAGCGTGTGTGCATGCGTGTACATATATCTGCATAAACGTGTGAGTGTGCGCAAGTCGAAGCCAGCATGTACGACCAGCACTATCAGTGCTGAGTGTGTGCATCAAGTGTGCATGTGTGTTCATGTCTGCATAAATGTGAGAGTGTGTGCAAGTTGAAGCCAGCATGCACGATCAGCACTGCCTGATGAAGCAAGTGATTGCACATGCTTTGTTTTCCCGCTTTCTGCATGTGTGTGCGTGCATGTGTGTACATGTCTGCATTAATGAGTTCACTTTTGAGTCGATTCAGAAGTGAACAGTTTGAGTGCTTGTGTGCATGCGAGCGTGCGTGCATGTGTGTACACGTCTGCATAAATGAGAGAGTGTGTGCAAGGCGAAGCCAGCATGTACGCTTAGCCTTACTCTCAGTACCAATCATAAAGCTGAGAGAGTGTGTGCATGTGGGTGTGTGCGTGCGAGCGTGTGTGCATGCGAGTGTGCTTGTGTGTGTACATATCTGAATAAAAGTGAGAGTGTGTGCACGTGCTGAGTTGTACTGCTTCTATATCATGCCCTTCCTCCTCCCTGTTCTCTCCTTATCCCACACTCCAGCGACGGCCATCACATATCAGTGGTATATTACCGTGCAGGCTACGGCCCCGGTGACTACCCAACTGATCTTGTAAGTTTGTGTGCTCTGCAGTCAGTATGTTTCTTGTTTGTTTGTTTCCCAGGCGTTTGGCTTGCCTCATTCTTCATTGAAAATCCATTGTCAGCCTGAGGCATTCTCTACCCGAATTCTGCTCAAAATCAGCTCTGTATCCTCTGCTCTGTTACCGAACCCGCCTTTGCCTGCCACACTGCCCACCCCTCTCTCTGACTGCCTGCATCAGGAGTGGGAGGCCCGCTTGTTACTTGAGCGATCAGCAGCAGTCAAGTGTCCCACCATCGCGTACCACCTGGCAGGAGCGAAGAAGGTGCAGCAGCAGCTGGCACAGCCGGGTGTGCTGGAGAGGTGAGGGCACAACGGGAGCAGAGGGGAGGCTATAGGGGAGCTTGTGGGCAGGAAAGACAGGGTGTGAGAGAGTAAGTGAGCAGTCAAGTGTTCCACCATAGCGTACCACCTGGCAGGAGCGAAGAAGGTGCAGTAGCAGCTGGCACAGCCTGGCGTGTTGGAGAGGTGAGAGCAGAGGGACGTGCTATTGGAGACTAAGGGTTTTTTAGATCTACTTTTGTTCACACTAGCTTTACACTCTTGACTTTTGAGTCGACTCAAAAGTCGCCTGGCGTGTTGGAGAGGTGAGAGCAGAGGAACGTGCTATTGGAGACTAAGGGTTTTTTAGATCTACTTTTGTTCACACTAGCTTTACACTCTTGACTTTTGAGTCGACTCAAAAGTCGCCTGGCGTGTTGGAGAGGTGAGAGCAGAGGAACGTGCTATTGGAGACTAAGGGTTTTTTAGATCTACTTTTGTTCACACTAGCTTTACACTCTTGACTTTTGAGTCGACTCAAAAGTCGCCTGGCGTGTTGGAGAGGTGAGAGCAGAGGAACGTGCTATTGGAGACTAAGGGTTTTTTAGATCTACTTTTGTTCACACTAGCTTTACACTCTTGACTTTTGAGTCGACTCAAAAGTCGCCTGGCGTGTTGGAGAGGTGAGAGCAGAGGAACGTGCTATTGGAGACTAAGGGTTTTTTAGATCTACTTTTGTTCACACTAGCTTTACACTCTTGACTTTTGAGTCGACTCAAAAGTCGCCTGGCGTGTTGGAGAGGTGAGAGCAGAGGAACGTGCTATTGGAGACTAAGGGTTTTTTAGATCTACTTTTGTTCACACTAGCTTTACACTCTTGACTTTTGAGTCGACTCAAAAGTCGCCTGGCGTGTTGGAGAGGTGAGAGCAGAGGAACGTGCTATTGGAGACTAAGGGTTTTTTAGATCTACTTTTGTTCACACTAGCTTTACACTCTTGACTTTTGAGTCGACTCAAAAGTCGCCTGGCGTGTTGGAGAGGTGAGAGCAGAGAAACGTGCTATTGGAGACTAAGGGTTTTTTAGATCTACTTTTGTTCACACTAGCTTTACACTCTTGACTTTTGAGTCGACTCAAAAGTCGCCTGGCGTGTTGGAGAGGTGAGAGCAGAGGAACGTGCTATTGGAGACTAAGGGTTTTTTAGATCTACTTTTGTTCACACTAGCTTTACACTCTTGATCCTGTTGCTAAAGTGTCATCTTCGCGCACTGCTGCCCTTCGATTATGAGTCAAGAAGGCCCTTCGATTATGAAGGGAGAGAGCTGGGTCAGCCAGGCGTGGTGCAGAGGTGAGAGCAGAGGAGATCATAAGGGAGAGGAGGGAAGAAGGTGGGCATTGAAATGGGGGGGGGGGGTGGACTGGACAGTTAGGGGCAACTGTCAGTCAGTTGCCCCACCATCGTACGTACCACCTTTTAGCAGAAGCTGGGTCAGCATGGGGGGCTGGAGAGGTGAGGGATCAGTTCAGATAGATATGATTAAAGGCAGCTGTTGAGGCGCCTCACAAGCTTGGGAGGTGAGGTGAGGTGGGGTATGGTAAGTTGAGGTGAGGTGAGAGTTTGGAACAGCCAACTCTCATCTCTCTTTCCCTCCCCTTCTCCCCCACCTCAAGCAGGTTCGTTTCAGACGAGGCGTCTCTGCAAGCCATGCGGCAATGCTTTGCTGGGCTGTGGAGTTTGGAGGAGGAAAGGGGGGCAGGGGAAGGACCAGCTGATGGTGGGGCAGCACGGAATGAAATCATTTCGAAAGCGATTCGGGAGCCATCCGAGTTTGTGCTGAAGCCGCAAAGAGAGGGAGGAGGTGAGCTATTGGGCGTTCAGAGACTTGGTGTATTGGAAGGATTCTGTGAGATGTCTCAAAAGGCGACCGGGGAGCCTTCAGAGTTTGTGCTGAAGCCGCAAAGAGAGGGAGGAGGTGAGCTATTGGGCGTTCAGAGACGATAGCGATTGGGCTATTGAGCCTTACAAGGAAATTTAGATGTCTTGGAAGGCGATTGCGGAACCATCACGATTTGTGCTGAGCAGTAATCGTCTCTGAACTGTGAATATGAACAGAAACAGTTTATGATAACGAAATTCGTATAACAGAAGTCTTTTCATCTAATCCCCATCTGGTTTCTGAGTAATCACTATGCAACCCAATCCACCCCTCTGTGCAGGCAACAACATCTACGACGAGGAAATTACCAGGAAGCTCACGGAGCTGACAGAAGCAGGGGAGGCGGGGAGGCAGGAGCTAGCAGCGTTCATTCTCATGCAGCGGCTCTTCCCCCCCGTGCACCGCTCCGTGTTAATTCGGAGGTGCCAGCACAGCTGGAATGATACTCTCTCAGAGCTGGGGGTCTATGGCACTTATCTGAGGTATGTGCGTGCATTTGGGCATGTGTGCAGCATCAGGGCTGGCAGGTAGGTGCTCAGAGCAGCAGGAGCTAGCAGCGTTCATTCTCATGCAGCGGCTCTTCCCCCCCGTGCACCGCTCCGTGCTAATTTGCCGCTGCCAGCACAGCTGGAACGATACACTCTCTGAACTGGGCGTGTATGGCACGTACCTGAGGTGTGTATGTGTGCTTGTGAACAAGTGAGCAGCAAAAATCACCCTTCCTCCCTCTCGTGCACCGCTCCGTGCTGATTCGCCGCTGTCAGCACAGCTGGAACGACACACTCTCAGAGCTAGGAGTGTACGGCACATATTTGAGGTATGCATGTGTGCATGGGGGTATGGGTGAAGCAGGGGAGGCAGCAGCTAGCAGCGTTCATTCTCATGCAGCGGCTCTTCCCCCCCGTGCACCGCTCTGTGCTCATCCGAAGGTGTCAGCACAGCTGGAACGATACTCTTTCCGAGCTGGGCGTGTATGGCACGTACCTGAGGTGAGTGTGGGCATGGGTCAGCAGTGCAGAAGCAGGGGACGCAGCAGCGTCCATTCTCATGCAACGCCTCTTCCCCCCCGTGCACCGCTCCGTGTTGATTCGGAGGTGCCAGCACAGCTGAAACGATACTCGATCTGAACCGGGCGTGTATGGGACATACTTGAGGTACGTGTGGGCATGGGTCAGCAGTGCAGCAACAGGGGAGCTAGCGGCGTTCATTCTCATGCAGCGCCTCTTCCCCCCCGTGCACCACTCCGTGCTGATTCGGCGCTGTCAGCACAGCTGGAACGACACACTCTCTGAACTAGGAGTGTATGGCACGTACCTGAGGTGGGTATATGTGCTTGTGACCTAGTGAACAGCAGTACCTGCTCTTCCCCCCCGTGCACCGCTCCGTGCTCATACGGCGGTGCCTGCCAGCACAGCTGGAACGACACACTCTCTGAACTAGGAGTGTATGGCACGTACCTGAGGTGGGTATATGTGCTTGTGAACTAGTGGGCAACACTACTCCGCTCCCTTTCCCCCCCCCGTGCACCGCTCCGTGCTCATACGGCGGTGCCTGCCAGCACAGCTGGAACGACACCCTGTTAGAGCTGGGCGTGTATGGCACGTACCTCAGGTTTGTTATAAGTGTACCACCAACACTCGCTCTTCCCTTCGTCCTACACGTCTCCTTCCCCTTCCTTTCAGAAATGGAGACAAGGTGGTTATCAATGCAGCAGCAGGTCACCTATTGCGCACAAAAACAGCAACTTCAAACGAGGGAGGGGTGGCGTCTGGCTTCGCAGTGCTCGATTCCCCTTATCTTGTCTGAGGGAACACATTTGCTGCTTTTTGGTGTCTATCTATGTTAACCTAATTCAGTGGAACCACTTTCTCAACTTTTTGTGGTGTTGTGATTCGTGAATGTGTATCGGTTGCCAAAGCAGCCAAGGCAGTGCACACTGCACTGTCAAAACTTTATTATGGATAAAAGAGGGGTGAAGAGGATTCACCTCACTCAATGATTCCCCTATCCGAATTACAGCACCTATCCCACAATCACCTATTTCCCACCACTGGCAACCCATGACAGGTTAGTGCATCGTCACATTCCTGACACCTAAGCCTTGCACAAATCCTACCGTATTTGTATCCGCTGTAGAAGAGTCACGATGACACATCTGTACCCAAATATTACCGTACCTATCTCCCACCCACCACCGGCAACCCATGACAAATTGGAGCATCGTCACATTCTTGAAATCTAAGTCCTGCTCGGATCCTATTTATATCTGCACTAAAGGACGACGCATCGGTCCCCAAAAACACATCCGCCATAACGCATATAGCCTTATCGAGTACAGCTTGTACTGTGGTCATGTGGGTGAAATGGGCCTGGGCAAGCACTGCCGCCCAGTCCTCGCCCGCCAGGCTCGCCGGCTGCCGAACCAGCCTGAGGTTTGGAATGGAGGCACGGATAACTTGCTCCAGCTGCTTCACCTGTGGGAAAAGCACATGGAGATGTGTTATGGGAAAATGCTATAGGTGACACTGATACCATGTGGAGAAAAAAGCATGAATGACTATTCTGGTGGAAATCCTTCTGAAGCATCAAGTTACTCGTACCAAGTAGCCATCCATATGCCTTGAATGGAAGCAGTATGTAACTCACCTCCTCCTCATTCGTGTCGGTCGCAAGGAGAAGAGTTGTCATACGTGACCGATTTGTCATGTCAAGTTGCCAGACCGAATCATCTTCCTGGCCCACAAATTAAGAAGTAACCTCTACCAGGATAGGAGATTCTACCCTCAATCTCTCTCACCTCCTATTCATTCGTGTCCGTCCCACCCACCTCCTCGTCATTCGTGTCAATTGCCAGGAACAGCGTTGTCAAGTTGCCTAACTGAAGGATCTTCCTGGCCCACAAATCAAGAAGTACCCTCTACCAGGACAGGAGATTCTACCCTCAATATCTCTCACCTCCTCATCATTCGTGTCAGTCGCCAGGAACAGAGTCGTCAAGTTGCCCGAACGAATCATCTTCCTCGCCACGCAGCTCCCTGTCTGCTCGACCGTCAGATGCGAGTAACTCTTAATCAGGTCCGTCCGTCTCCAGTGAACCGCCATGTACCGTCCAAATGCTAATCTACCACTCCCCCCTTCGCCGTCGCCGCCGCTGCTGCTGCTGCTGCTACTATCACCGCTGCTGCTATTTTTCACTTCCCATTCCCTGGGCAGCCCCTGCAAAAGTTTCGTCCGCACAAACGCATCTGCCGCTTCCAGAATAGCGGGATGCGGTTGGATGGCCAGAGGGTTCGGGCAGCCCGGGGAACGAATAAACGGAAGGTCGAGATTGTTCATACGTGATCCATTAGCCTGCATGGAAGCATCCAAAATTGCCGAACCTAGGTCGTCGAACGTGATAAGCCGAGCCGAGGGCAGAAGCTTGGAGTCGACCAATTGGAAATCCGTGATGTTGACTGAATGGCTCGAGAGGAAACCCCCGGACGTCCACGTCAGGTTCGGCGAGAAACCGATGCTGGTGTAGTTCGGCATTTTCTTTGGAATGCCTATGGGGTCTTGATCGTAGCAGCGGCCGTACAAACACACAATCAGGTCCAGATTCACCGTATCATTTCCCGCTCCTCCCCCTCCTTCTCCGCCTCCCCCTCTGCCTCCCCTTACCCCGCCCCCACCACCATTCCTCCTCTCCCTCTCCAGCTCTAAAAGCTCGTCCCGTGAAATCACAGTGCGGGGGCCGAAGCAGCGGCGTGTGTGGTCGATATCAAAGTAAGCGCGGCGGTCGTAATTGCGGCTGATTTCGTCGGCATGCAGAGGCACGACCAGCGTGCGGTTCAGATAGCCTGCTGCTATGAGGTATTTGTTCATGCACCGGACCCGGTTGCTCATCTGGTGGAGTGCGGTGGAAAGGCGTGGAAAGGGGTGGAGAGAGGGGTGGGATGGGATCAAAATATGCGCGGCGGTCCTAATTGCGGCTGATCTTGTCAGCATGCAGAGGCACGACCAGCGTGCGATTCAGATAGCCTGCTGCTATGAGGTATTTGTTCATGCACCGGACCCGGTTGCTCATCTGGTGGAGTGCGGTGGAAAGGCGTGGAAAGGGGTGGAGAGAGGGGTGGGATGGGATCAAAATATGCGCGGCGGTCCTAATTGCGGCTGATCTTGTCAGCATGCAGAGGCACGACCAGCGTGCGATTCAGATAGCCTGCTGCTATGAGGTATTTGTTCATGCACCGGACCCGGTTGCTCATCTGGTGGAGTGCGGTGGAAAGGCGTGGAAAGGGGTGGAGAGAGGGGTGGGATGGGATCAAAATATGCGCGGCGGTCCTAATTGCGGCTGATCTTGTCAGCATGCAGAGGCACGACCAGCGTGCGATTCAGATAGCCTGCTGCTATGAGGTATTTGTTCATGCACCGGACCCGGTTGCTCATCTGGTGGAGTGGGGTGGGAAGGGGTGGAGTGTGGTGGAGTGCGGTGGGAATGGGTGTGTGTGCGATTCAGATAGCCTGCTGCTATGAGGTATTTGTTCATGCACCGGACCCGGTTGCTCATCTGGTGGAGTGGGGTGGGAAGGGGTGGAGTGTGGTGGAGTGCGGTGGGAATGGGTGTGTGTGCGATTCAGATAGCCTGCTGCTATGAGGTATTTGTTCATGCACCGGACCCGGTTGCTCATCTGGTGGAGTGGGGTGGGAAGGGGTGGAGTGTGGTGGAGTGCGGTGGGAATGGGTGTGTGTGCGATTCAGATAGCCTGCTGCTATGAGGTACTTGTTCATGCAGTGCACTCGGTTGCTCATCTAATGCGGTGGAGTGGGGTGGAGTGGAATGGGGAGAGGGGAGAGGGTAACTTGATGAACCCGAGACTCGGTTCAAGTAGCCGGAAGCGATCAAGTATTTGTTCATGCACTGCACTCGGTTGCTCATCTAATAGGATCGGGAGCGGTGGGGTAGATTGGGGAGAGGGTAACTTGATGAGCCCGAGTCTCGGTTCAAGTAGCCGCTGCTATCAGAAACCTGTTCATGCACCGCACTCGGTTGCTCATCTGGTGGAGTGCAGTGGAGAGGGATGGGATCTGGTGGAGTGCGGTGGAGAGGGATGGGATCTGGTGGAGTGCGGTGGAGAGGGATGGGATCTGATGGAGTGTGAAACCCATACCACACACACCACTCTCCACTCCTTCCAACCCCCTAACCTGGTTCCTGTAGCAGTCCACCAACACGTATTTCTCAGGCTGCGGCTGCCTCGAAATCGGCCCCGCCCCATACAGCTTGCCATAGTTCTGAGTCTTGTCACACACGCCTGCAGCCATACCATACACTGCTCTCCACTCCTCCCAACCCCTCACCTGGTTCCTGTAGCAATCCATCAACACGTATTTGCCAGGCTGCGGCTCCCACGCAATAGGTCCCATCCCATACAGCTTGCCATAGTTCTGAGTCTTGTCACACACGCCTGCTGCCACCTTCGCCTTGTCCTCCTCGTCCTTCTCCTTCTGGGTCACTGGCTTCACCCTGGAGGCACAGGGACGGACAGAGGGAAAAAGAGTCGTGTGGGTGTGAGCCTTATCATGTTTCAGCTTGCCACCACAGCACCTCTACGCGCAGCATAGCACTCTAGGTGCCTTTTGAGTCGACTCAAAAGTCACCTCACCACAGCGATTCCTTCTTGATCCGCGTGCACTCTCCTCATGCTCCTTCGCCCTCACCTCCTTCCCCCTTTTCTCCTCATACACTCGCCAGTCGACTCTGATGGGTCGGTTATTTGTAGCACCCACTGCACCCACTGCAACCGCCACAGTGCTTCCTTCTTGATCCACGTGCACTCCTCCACTCCCTCCTTCATGCCCCTTCCTCTCCACACCGCCGCAGTACCAACGCACTCACCAGTTGAGTCTGATGGGTCGGCTGGAACCCACTGCAGCCACCACAGTGCTTCCCTCTTGTTGACCCACTTGCGCCCCTCCACTCCCTCAAACCAGACTTGGGCGGGTGTAATTAACCTCGGCTGCTTCTTTGGACGCACGTATTGACGCCAAGGCTCCGAACTGGAACTTCTTTGCACTCACCAGTCGAGTCTGATGGGTCGGTTAGTGGCAGCACCCACTGCAGCACCCACTGCAGCACCCACTGCACCCACTGCACCCACTGCAACCGCCACAGTGCTTCCTTCCTGACCCGCTTGCACTCCTCTCTCGTCATACTCCTTGTTCTCCATGATAACAACTCATTTGAACTCACCAGTCGAGTCTGATGGGTCGGTTAGTGGTGACCACTGCACCCGCCATAGTGATTTCTTCCTGACCCGCTTGCACTCCCTCGCCCTTTCCTCCCTCGGCGGTCTGAGCATCGGCTGCTGACGACGACGATGATGTCAGAATCTGAGTCAGCTGGCTTCGTATGGCCGAAACCCGCTGTAACAGCTCTGTAACATTCCCCTGCTCCGCTAGATTGTCCTGAATTTCTTTCTCAATAGCCCCAACCCGGCCTATTATCGAGTCATCTACTATCGAATCTTGCAATAGCCATCTTCTTTTCCATTTCTTCAGCCAGGCTCGAACGGCCGTATGCCGAGCTAAAATAGCCGTATCCCCGTTTGTTTCGGCTGTAGCGAGAACGGTATCAGCCGTATCAGCTGCATTTTCGCCTTTTTCCGCGTCACGCTTCTCTGAGTCAGCTGCTTCAGTTCGGCCAATCAAAACAGCTGCCTTCGCTTCCTCCTGAGCCACATTCGTTTTTTTCAAAACCGCTTCGTAAACCCGAGAAGGTGCTCCAAACGCCTCAATACCACCCTGAACCGCATTCCCGCTTCCCTTGCTGCTCTCATGCGACCCTCGTTTCAATTTCAATCTCGGTATTCCGGATAATATCGCATAGGATTCTTCGTTAGCACCAACCGCTCCATCCAATTCCCTTCCACTTGCGAACCCCTGATCCTGCCATTGTAACGAAACGACCGTAACGAGGATAGCACACGCTATCCGCAAACCAAATCTCATGCTTACATCCGCCTCTCTCCGTCGATTCTCCCAGGCGTTGATTATCTGGTACTAAATCCAAATGCAAGCTCTGGAGGTCAGTGAAACAGAAGCTAATAAGAGGGTTGGCAATGTGCAGGATTAGGAGCAGGATAAAATCATAAATGACAGAGGCAGTTGCTGCCAGATGTCAGCTTTCCGCCATTACTCTACGTCTATTTTGATTTGAATTGGGAATGCTGACAATCACCGTCGTCGTTGCACCAATCGTCTAGCGCAACCAGCGATCATCACTTGTCAGTGACGACTCCTATCCTATCGTGTCAACATATCATCATCCCCCTCGCGAATGTCTACGACGAGTATGCTTGGTGATTGTGATGGTGCTGCAGAATAAAGTAGGTGGTGCGGGAAGGTTGTGCAAGCAAAAGTCGGGATAGTACGGTTCAGTAATTTCTTATACGATTCAGAATGCTCAGGAAGGGCACAAAAACGGTTGGATAGGTTTCTGAGCGATAAGTACATCCAAAGTTCAAGCGGCATTCGTGCTTCCGTACGCGTTATTGGTTCTCCAACTGTTTATGTGATACCTGTGTTATTTTTAAAGCTTCTCTCTCCCGTTTTACTGGTACTCGTGAAAGCATGTCATCTTGGAGCACCCAAGTGCTATAACACTTTCTCGATTTGCTGAAATTACCAGCCCTTTATTTTTGTTATACACAGGAGATTGTGTAAAGTGGTTGTCACTTTCCGTGGCAAAAAGGGTAAATAATACTGTAAATGCAAGTAATCGATTGCATCAGCGCTCACCGACAAGTGCTTGCCCCTGACAAATAGGTGCATCATCACATACTTGAAACCTAAGCCCTGCTCGAATCCTGGTAATATCCAATGAAAAAGACGACGCATCTGTACCCGAAAACACATCTGCCATAGCGCATATCACCTTATCGAGCATGGCTTGCACAGTGAACATGTGGGTGAGATTGGCCTGAGCAAGCACTGCCGCCCAGTCCTCGCCTGTCAGGAACGTCGGCTGCCGAACCAGCCTCAGGTTCGGGATGTAGGTACGCATGATATTCTCGAGTTCGTTCACCTGTAGGAAAAAGTGAGAGGGGTCAGGGATGTGGTAAGACTGTTTTGAGAGCCTCAAAAACAGGTGCAGGGATGAAAAAGGGCATGGACTAAAGGAAGAATCCTACAAACAAACGTGAATATATAATAATATATAAGTTTGCTCACCTCACCTTGAAAGCAATAAAAAGTACCAATATGTATGTTCCTCACCTCATCTTCGTTTGCGTCAATCGCAAACAGAGTTGGCGAGTTCTGATACACGAGTCCTCCTAAATGAATCAACTATTCTACTGGACAGTACAATGTTACCACTATCTGTAGGCCACTCACCTCCTCGTCATTCGTGTCAGTCGCAAGAAACAGTGTTGTCAAGTTGCCCGACCGAATCATCTTTCTAGCCACGCATCTCCCTGTCTGCTCCACCGTTAGATGCGACAGCGGATCCTTGAAACTTTTAATCAGGTCCGTCCGTCTCCAGTGAATCGCCATGTACCGTCCGATAGCCAGAATGCTGTTCCCCTCCCCACTGCTGCTGCTGCTACCATCACTGCTGCTGCTAGTGCTGCTGCTGCTGCTGTCACTGGTGCTAATATCAGTGCTGCTGCCACTGTCACTGGTGCTAATATCAGTGCTGCTGCCACTGTCACTGGTGCTACTATCAGTGCTGCTGCCACTGTCACTGGTGCTACTTTCAGTGCTGCTGCCACTGTCACTGGTGCTACTTTCAGTGCTGCTGCCACTGTCACTGGTGCTGCCATTTTTCACTTCCCATTCCCGAGGCAACCCCTGCAAAAGCCGCGACCGCACAAACGCATCTGCAGCTTCGAAAATCACGGGATGAGGTTGGATGGCCAGAGGGTTCGGGCAGCCCGGGACGCGAACAAACGGAAGGTCGAGATTATTCATAAACACACCATCCTCCGTCCTAGAAGCGTCTAGAGTCATCGCACCTAAGTCACTAAACGTGATGAGACGAGCTGAAGGCAACAGCATGGAATCTACCCGGTGGAAATCGGTGATGTTGATTGGATGGCTCTGAACAAACCCGCCGTTCGTCCACTTTAGGTTCGGCGAGTAACCGATGCCGGTTAGGTTCGGCATGAGGTCTGGAACGCCCATGTGGTCCTGATTGTAACACCGACCAATCAAACAGACGATCTGGTCGACATTCACCGTAACATTTCCCCCTCCTTCTCCCCCTCCCCCTCCTGCACCGCCCATCCTCCTCTTCCTCTCCTCTTCCAGAAGCTCATCACGGGAAATGACAGTGCGAGGGCCGAAGCAGCGGCGCGTGTGGTTGATGTCAAAGTAAGCGCGGCGTTCGTAGTGATAGGTGATTTCATCCGCATGCAGAGGCACCACCAGCGTGCGGTTCAAATAACCAGCTGCCAGGAGGTAGTTCTTGATGCACCGCACACGATTGCTCATCTAAAGGGGTGAGGAGGGGTGAAGTGCGGTGGGAAAGGGTGGGGTGGGGTGGGGAGGGGTGGTGAGGGTTGGGGAGGGATTTATCGGCCGTGTGTGGTTGAATTCAAAGTGCGCGCGGCGTTCGTAGTGATAGATGATTTTGTCGGCATACAGAGGCACCACCAGCGTGCAGTTAAAGTAGCCCGCTGCCAGGAGGTAGTTCTTGATGCACCGCAATCGGTTGCTCATCTGATGATGATGATGATGATGATGATGATGATGATGATGATGATGATGATGATGATGATGATGATGATGATGATGATGATGATGATGATGATGATGATGATGATGATGATGATGATGATGATGATGATGAGGGGGGTTGGTTTATGGACACAATACATGTACAAAGAGAAGAACAATGATGCTATTGAGCAACCGTTTTCCCTCTTCGGCTGCATTCACCCCACCTGGTTCCTATGCCAGTCCATCCATGAGTCGTTACTGAAAATTCCTGCGATTTCTCAAAAAATATTATTGACAATAGTTGCTTGCCTGTCACCACCCCACCCCCCTCACCTGGTTCCTGTGGCAGCCCGTCAGCACGTATTTGCCTGCCTGCGGCTGCAAGGCAAGGGAGGAGGGGAACCATACTATGCACCGCTCTCCACTCCTCCCAGCACCCCCCAAACCCCCATCACCTGGTTCCTGTGGCACTCCATCAGCACGTATTTGCCTGCCTGCGGCTGCAAGGCAAGGGAGGGGCCGGCACTACATACACACACACACACACACACACACGCGCGCGCGCGCGCACGCACACACACACCTCCCCTCCCAACAACCCACCCCACCCCCCTCACCTGGTTCCTGTGGCAGTCCATCAACACGTATTTGTCTGCCTGTGGTTGCCATGCAATTGGCCCCTCCCCGTACAGCTTGGCGTAGCTCTGAATCTTGTCACACATGCCTGCTGCCACCTTCGCCTTGTCCTCCTCGTCCTTCTCCTTCTGAGTCACTGGCTTCACCCTGTGGGCAGAAAAGCACAGACAGAGGAAAAGGCAGAAGCAGATGGAGAGGGGAAAAGGCTTAGGTAGCGAAAAAAAAGAAAGAAGAAGAAGAAACAGGGTTTGTAGCCCTTGACAAATATTTCTAGTTACTGGCTTTAGCCTGCAGAGGAAGCGGCAGAATGAGGAGAATCAGGGCTGGAAGGCAAAACCACAAAGCAGTTGGTGGGAGGGGAGTACTTTGGCTGGTGCGGCACTCACACACTCACTCACTCACACACTCACACACTCACTTACTCACACACTCACCCACTCTCGCACTCACTCACTCACGCTCACTCGCTCACTCCCTCCCTCCCTTACCCACTCACTCACCCCTTTACTCACACTCACTCGCCCACTACCTCTCCGTTCCTCGCTCACTCACTCACTCACCAGTCTAGTCTGATTGGTCGGCTGACGGCCGTGGTATCAACAGTAACACTTTTGTCCTCATGCTCCTTCTCCTCCTTTACACCCGTTTCCCCCGCCTTCTCAGACCCATTTACTCCTACCGCACTGGACCCATTCTCATGCCCCTCTTGAAACCCTCTTTCCGCCACTCCTCCTGGCCCTGCTTCCGTGCTCGTGCCTTCCGGGGTAGCCTGACCCTCTTTTGCTGACGACGATGATGACGTCAGGAGCTCGTTCGTCCCATTTCCGCTGCTGACGTCATTGCTTGCCCCACTGACGTCACTGCTACTGCTGCTTATATTCCCCTTAATGGTCTCCCCATGTTCCGCTAAGGTTTCCTGAATCTCTTTCTCGATGGTCTCAACCCGGCCTATTCCAGATTCATCTACAACTGGGTTTTGCAATAAACGTCTTCTTCTCCGTTTCTTCAACCCAGCTCCTACCTCAGCCGTATCTTGAGCCAATCCTGTTCGCCCTGGCAGCGTTCCCACCTCCGACAAGCCATTTTCTGTTTGCGGTAACACCAACCCAATGCTATTTTCCACAGATCCAGCCATTTCCCTTCCAGTTGCGAACCCCTGATCTTGCCATTGTAACGAGACGACCGTAACGAGTATAGCACACGCTATCCGCAGGCGACGGCTCATGCTTACATCTGCTGCTCTCCGCCGATTCTCCTAGGCGCTTGTCTGCTACGTACAGCGTTCAGGCGCAAGTACGCCGTCGTAAAACAGGAGCGGTCGTAATCGGTGAAACGCTAAGAATCGTACTGGCGGTGCGTAGAACAGGAGCAGGAGTGAATCTTGGTATGTATGACGGAAATAAGTTATTCACGGAGCCCACTAATTGTCGCAAAATCCGGCTTTCCAACACAACTGTTCTACCAATGCATGTTTCAAGCGCCGTCGTCATTCCGCCAATCGGATGCAGCAGCCTACCAGCGCGCGCAGCATCGCAGCGAATGTGCGCAGGGAGGTGATTTCAGGGGAGAGCAGGAGCGAAGGCTCGGGTCGGAGTCCTGGTCCTGGGTTTGGAGAAAGCTGATAAGTACACCGCATACCGCTCTATGAAAACACCCTCAAAATATGGATATTGAGTTAGGTTACACGTTTTCTAACCAAGCGAATCAAAATGATTGACAAGCAGGTAACGAATAGTTGTCATTGCACATCCATAAACCATAATTCATATTCACACAAAGAGAATTGTAGTCTAAAACACGACAGTGTCCAGCATCGTGCCTAGTGTCTGCACGATATTGGACGACATGAGTGTCGACACATGCTCCTCCAGGTGCTTCTTTGCGTCCTGCCTCCCCACACTCGCAATCGCAAACTTCTCAGTCGACAATGTATCCTCCTCCTGTACTGCCTTGTTGTATTTCTGGGCCAACTCCAACATGTCCTGTTGAGGACAGGTGTTGGGAGGAAAAGTGAGAGGGGGACAGTGAAAGGGGGTTGAAGGAGGAGGAAGGGAGAAGAGGGAACAATGTATCCTCCTCCTGTACTGCCTTGTTGTACTTCTGAGCCAACTCCAACATGTCCTGTTGAGTAGGGGCGTTGGGGACGAGGGAAGGGGGGATGGGGGCGGAGGAAGAGGGAAGGGGAAAAGGGGAAGGGGGTTGGGGAAGGGGGGGCAAGAAGAGGGAACAACGTATCCTCCTCTTGCACGGCCTTATTGTGCTTCTGAGCCAACTCCAACATGTCCTGTTGAGGCAAAAGCGGGATGGGGACGGCACAAGTGTTGACACATCCTCCTCAAGTCCCTCCTCGTGCACGGCCTTGTTGTACTTCTGAGCCAGTTCCAACATGTCCTGTTGAGGACAGGTGTTGGGAGGAAAAGTGAGAGGGGGAGAGTGAAAGGGGGTTGAAGGAGGAGGAAGGGAGAAGAGGGAACAATGTATCCTCCTCCTGTACTGCCTTGTTGTACTTCTGAGCCAACTCCAACATGTCCTGTTGAGTAGGGGCGTTGGGGACGAGGGAAGGGGGAATGGGGGCAGAGGAAGAGGGAAGGGGAAAAGGGGAAGGGGGTTGGGGAAGGGGGGGGCAAGAAGAGGGAACAGCGTATCCTCCTCATGCACGGCCTTGTTGTACTTCTAAGCCAACTCCAACATGTCCTGTTCGGTATGGGCTTGGGGAAGAGGGAAGAGGGAAGAGGGAAGGGGGTGGAGGGGGGGAGAGGAAGGTGGAAGCAGGTTGGGGGTCGGGGAGGGGGGGAGGGAGAAGAGGGAAGTATCCTCCTCCTGTATGGCCTTGTGTTTCTGGGCCAACTCTAGCATGCTTTTGAGTCGACTCAAAAGCATCCTCCTCCTGTACGGCCTTGTGTTTCTGGGCCAACTCTAGCATGCCCTGTTGAGCAGCTCGTTCTTCTTGTTGTGGCTTTCAAACGGCTGCAGGGTCAGCCCATGCACCCACTTCTTCTAACACCTTGTCCCTTTTGACACAGTATCTGTTGAGTGGCTTACCCACCAAACACCTCACCTGCACGATCTGTTCGTTCTTCCTGTTGTGGCTTTCAAACGGCTGCAGGGTCAGCCCGTGAGCCCACTTCTTCTTGTGCAGGTTCAGCAGCATCTTCTCCTCCAGCTCGTTCTAACACCACCGCCTTCCAGTTACAGCAATCTGCTCGTTCTAGTGCCTGTTACACTCTAAGAATCACCTGCACTATCTCCTCCTTCCTATCGTTGTGCTGGGCTGAAGGCCTCACCTGCACGATCTGCTCGTTCTTCTTGTTGTGGCTCTCGAAGGGCTGCAGCGTCAGCCCGTGCGCCCACTTCTTCTTGTGCAGGTTCAGCAGCATCTTCTCCTCCAGCTCGTTCTTGCGGTAGTTGATGCCGATGGAGTAGTAGTGCCGGTTGAGGCCGTGGATAAGGGCCTGTTGGGGGGGGGGGGTTGAGGAGACGGGACCAGAGAAATAAGGGAGGGAAGAAGCAGGCGAAAGGGGAGGGCGGAATGGTGGAAAGAGAGGGCAGAAAAGGGGAAAGGGGAGGGCGGAAGAGGGAAAGGAGGAAAATTCTTCTTGTGCAGGTTGAGCAGCATCTTCTCCTCCAGCTCGTTCTTGCGGTAGTTGATGCCGATGGAGTAGTAGTGCCGGTTCAACCCGTGGATCAAAGCCTGTTGGGGTTGAGAGGGGAAACCGCACCAGGGAAAGCAGGGCAGGGGGGGGGGGGCAGAAGGCGGGGAAGGGAGGGAGGGGGGAAAGGGAGGGCGGAAGGCAGGAATAGGGAGGGCTGAAAGAGGGGAAAAGGGGAGGAGGCAACGTCTTCTTGTGCAGGTTGAGCAGCATCTTCTCCTCCAGCTCGTTCTTGCGGTAGTTGATGCCGACGGAGTAGTAGTGCCGGTTCAACCCATGAATCAGCGCCTGTGGGATATAAGAAGGGCAAAGTGAGAAAAACGAGGTTCATTTCTGCTCTTCCTAGTTGAGGCTCCGATGGAGTAGCAGTGTCTGTTGAGGCCCTGAATAAGCGCCTGTGGAGGGATTGCAAGGAGGCAAGGAGCAGGGAGATGAGGGAAGGGAGGGGCGGAAACGGGAACAGAAAGGGGGAAGGAGGGAGGGGCGGATTGGGACAGCAGGGAGGTGAAAGGGAAAGGGGGAAGGTTTTTTCTCTGCAGGTTAAGTAGCATCTTCTCCTCCAGCTCGTTCTTGCGGTAGTTGATACCGATGGAGTAGTAGCGCCCCCCCAGCATCATGGTCTGTGGGTTGATGAGACGGAACGCGTCGATGGATGGACACTGTGTTGCACATCCACCTATCACAGTCAAGCCAGGACCATATGACTCCGTACCTGGATGGACGGCTTGTGCAAATGCCCAAGGTTGGAAGTGGTTTGGCGGGGTTCCTGCCTCAGCATCATAATATGAGGGTTGATGAGGCCGAGAGTGGCTGGAGGATAAGAGTCCACATACCTGGATGGACGGCTTGTGGAGATGGCCTAGGTTAGAGGTGGTTTGGCGCGGTTCCTGCCCCAGCATCATGGTCTGTGGGTTGATGAGGCAGAACGCGTTGATGACCACCTTGCCCTTGACTGACAGCCCAGGCGTGGCCTGCTGGCGTCTGTCACAGTCAAACCAGCCGCTCAAGACTCTCATACCTGGATGGACGGCTTGTGGAGATGACCGAGGTTAGAGGTGGTTTGGCGCGGTTCCTGCCCCAGCATCATGGTCTGTGGGTTGATGAGCCGGAAGGCGTCGATGACCACCTTGCCCTTGACTGACTGAATAGGATCCACCACGACAGCCACTGCCCGCTGGTTCAGCGCCTCAAAGCTCTGATGGAAGGGGGGAGCGGCAAAGGGAAGTGGGAGGTGACCACCTTGCCCTTGACTGACTGAATAGGATCCACCACCACCGCCACCGCCCGCTGGTTCAGCGCCTCAAAGCTCTGATGGGAGGTGGAGGAGGGTGATAGGAGAGGAAGTGGGGTTGAAAGCATGAAAGGCGTGAATGACCACCTTGCCCTTGACGGACCGAATCGGACCCACCACCACTGCCACTGCCCGCTGGTTCAGTGCTTCGAAGCCCTGATGGGGAAAGAGGTGGGGACGGAGAGGGGAGAAGGGAGGGGACAGAGAGAGAGAAAGGAGAAGGGAAAGATGGAGGAGTGGTGGAGGGGTTGATGAGGCGAAAGATGTCAACGACCACCACTTTGCGCTTGACTGGCTGAATGGGTTCCACCACCATCACTTTTGAGTCGACTCAAAACTCGCGAGTTGACTTTTGAGCCGACTCAAAAGTCAACTTGACTGGCTGAATGGGTTCCACCACCATCACTTTTGAGTCGACTCAAAAGACACGACGTCAGTGACCACTACTTTGCGCTTGACTGGCTGAAAGGGGACCACCGCCGTCACCGCCGTGGCGACAGTGGCAAAAGCTTTTTTGAGGCGCCTCAAAAATCACTGCCCTCTGGTACAGTGCCTCGAAGCTCTGATGGGAGGGGGAGGAGGAGGGTGGGAGGGAGGAGAGGAAGAGGGAGTGGTAAGGCAAAAGGCGCCAATTGAAAACCATGCCCCAAACGGGCTTGGGCTGAACAGAGAAGCAGAGCGGACAAGACCGACTTCTCTGTTCACTTTTGAGTCGACTCAAAAGTCAGAGAAGCAGAGCGGAGAAGACCGACTTCTCTGTTCACTTTTGAGTCGACTCAAAAGTCAGAGAAGCAGAGCGGAGAAGACCGACTTCTCTGTTCACTTTTGAGTCGACTCAAAAGTCAGAGAAGCAGAGCGGAGAAGACCGACTTCTCTGTTCACTTTTGAGTCGACTCAAAAGTCAGAGAAGCAGAGCGGAGAAGACCGACTTCTCTGTTCACTTTTGAGTCGACTCAAAAGTCAGAGAAGCAGAGCGGACAAGACCGACTTCTCTGTTCACTTTTGAGTCGACTCAAAAGTCAGAGAAGCAGAGCGGACAAGACCGACTTCTCTGTTCACTTTTGAGTCGACTCAAAAGTCAGAGAAGCAGAGCGGAGAAGACCGACTTCTCTGTTCACTTTTGAGCCGACTCAAAAGTCAGAGAAGCAGAGCGGAGAAGACCGCCTTCTCTGTTCACTTTTGAGTCGACTCAAAAGTCAGAGAAGCAGAGCGGAGAAGACCGACTTCCCTGTTCACTTTTGAGTCGACTCAAAAGTCAGAGAAGCAGAGCGGACAAGACCGCCATCTCTGTTCACTTTTGAGTCGACTCAAAAGTCAGAGAAGCAGAGCGGAGAAGACCGACTTCTCTGTTCACTTTTGAGTCGACTCAAAAGTCAGAGAAGCAGAGCGGACAAGACCGACTTCTCTGTTCACTTTTGAGTCGACTCAAAAGTCAGAGAAGCAGAGCGGACAAGACCGACTTCTCTGTTCACTTTTGAGTCGACTCAAAAGTCAGAGAAGCAGAGCGGAGAAGACCGACTTCTCTGTTCACTTTTGAGTCGACTCAAAAGTCAGAGAAGCAGAGCGGAGAAGACCGACTTCTCTGTTCACTTTTGAGCCGACTCAAAAGTCAGAGAAGCAGAGCGGAGAAGACCGCCTTCTCTGTTCACTTTTGAGTCGACTCAAAAGTCAGAGAAGCAGAGCGGAGAAGACCGACTTCCCTGTTCACTTTTGAGTCGACTCAAAAGTCAGAGAAGCAGAGCGGAGAAGACCGACTTCTCTGTTCACTTTTGAGTCGACTCAAAAGTCAGAGAAGCAGAGCGGAGAAGACCGACTTCTCTGTTCACTTTTGAGTCGACTCAAAAGTCAGAGGAGCAGAGCGGAGAAGACCGACTTCTCTGTTCACTTTTGAGTCGACTCAAAAGTCAGAGAAGCAGAGCGGAGAAGACCGACTTGTCTGTTCACTTTTGAGTCGACTCATAAGTCAGAGAAGCAGAGCGGACAAGACCGACTTCTCTGTTCACTTTTGAGTCGACTCAAAAGTCAGAGAAGCAGAGCGGACAAGACCGACTTCTCTGTTCACTTTTGAGTCGACTCAAAAGTCAGAGAAGCAGAGCGGACAAGACCGACTTCTCTGTTCACTTTTGAGTCGACTCAAAAGTCAGAGAAGCAGAGCGGAGAAGACCGACTTCTCTGTTCACTTTTGAGCCGACTCAAAAGTCAGAGAAGCAGAGCGGAGAAGACCGCCTTCTCTGTTCACTTTTGAGTCGACTCAAAAGTCAGAGAAGCAGAGCGGAGAAGACCGACTTCCCTGTTCACTTTTGAGTCGACTCAAAAGTCAGAGAAGCAGAGCGGACAAGACCGCCATCTCTGTTCACTTTTGAGTCGACTCAAAAGTCAGAGAAGCAGAGCGGAGAAGACCGACTTCTCTGTTCACTTTTGAGTCGACTCAAAAGTCAGAGAAGCAGAGCGGACAAGACCGACTTCTCTGTTCACTTTTGAGTCGACTCAAAAGTCAGAGAAGCAGAGCGGACAAGACCGACTTCTCTGTTCACTTTTGAGTCGACTCAAAAGTCAGAGAAGCAGAGCGGAGAAGACCGACTTCTCTGTTCACTTTTGAGTCGACTCAAAAGTCAGAGAAGCAGAGCGGAGAAGACCGACTTCTCTGTTCACTTTTGAGTCGACTCAAAAGTCAGAGAAGCGGGGCGGAGAAGACCGACTTCTCTGTTCACTTCTGAGTCGACTCAAAAGTCAGAGAAGCAGAGCGGAGAAGACCGCCTTCTCTGTTCACTTTTGAGTCGACTCAAAAGTCAGAGAAGCAGAGCGGAGAAGACCGACTTCTCTGTTCACTTTTGAGTCGACTCAAAAGTCAGAGAAGCAGAGCGGAGAAGACCGACTTCTCTGTTCACTTTTGAGTCGACTCAAAAGTCAGAGAAGCAGAGCGGAGAAGACCGACTTCTCTGTTCACTTTTGAGTCGACTCAAAAGTCAGAGAAGCAGAGCGGAGAAGACCGCCTTCCCTGTTCACTTTTGAGTCGACTCAAAAGTCAGAGAAGCAGAGAGGACAAGACCGCCTTCTCTGTTCACTTTTGAGTCGACTCAAAAGTCAGAGAAGCAGAGCGGAGAAGACCGACTTCTCTGTTCACTTTTGAGTCGACTCAAAAGTCAGAGAAGCAGAGCGGAGAAGACCGACTTCTCTGTTCACTTTTGAGTCGACTCAAAAGTCAGAGAAGCAGAGCGGACAAGACCGACTTCTCTGTTCACTTTTGAGTCGACTCAAAAGTCAGAGAAGCAGAGCGGACAAGACCGACTTCTCTGTTCACTTTTGAGTCGACTCAAAAGTCAGAGAAGCAGAGCGGACAAGACCGACTTCTCTGTTCACTTTTGAGTCGACTCAAAAGTCAGAGAAGCAGAGCGGACAAGACCGACTTCTCTGTTCACTTTTGAGTCGACTCAAAAGTCAGAGAAGCAGAGCGGAGAAGACCGACTTCTCTGTTCACTTTTGAGTCGACTCAAAAGTCAGAGAAGCGGAGCGGAGAAGACCGACTTCTCTGTTCACTTTTGAGTCGACTCAAAAGTCAGAGAAGCAGAGCGGAGAAGACCGACTTCTCTGTTCACTTTTGAGTCGACTCAAAAGTCAGAGAAGCAGAGCGGACAAGACCGACTTCTCTGTTCACTTTTGAGTCGACTCAAAAGTCAGAGAAACAGAGCGGAGAAGACCGACTTCTCTGTTCACTTTTGAGTCGACTCAAAAGTCAGAGAAGCGGAGCGGAGAAGACCGACTTCTCTGTTCACTTTTGAGTCGACTCAAAAGTCAGAGAAGCAGAGCGGAGAAGACCGACTTCTCTGTTCACTTTTGAGTCGACTCAAAAGTCAGAGAAGCAGAGCGGACAAGACCGACTTCTCTGTTCACTTTTGAGTCGACTCAAAAGTCAGAGAAGCAGAGCGGAGAAGACCGACTTCCCTGTTCACTTTTGAGTCGACTCAAAAGTCAGAGAAGCAGAGCGGACAAGACCGCCTTCTCTGTTCACTTTTGAGTCGACTCAAAAGTCAGAGAAGCAGAGCGGAGAAGACCGACTTCTCTGTTCACTTTTGAGTCGACTCAAAAGTCAGAGAAGCAGAGCGGACAAGACCGAATTCTCTGTTCACTTTTGAGTCGACTCAAAAGTCAGAGAAGCAGAGCGGACAAGACCGACTTCCCTGTTCACTTTTGAGTCGACTCAAAAGTCAGAGAAGCAGAGCGGACAAGACCGCCTTCTCTGTTCACTTTTGAGTCGACTCAAAAGTCAGAGAAGCAGAGCGGAGAAGACCGACTTCTCTGTTCACTTTTGAGTCGACTCAAAAGTCAGAGAAGCAGAGCGGACAAGACCGACTTCTCTGTTCACTTTTGAGTCGACTCAAAAGTCAGAGAAGCAGAGCGGACAAGACCGACTTCTCTGTTCACGGGCACGGAGAAGCCTGGGCTTTTCCACATCCATGCACGGATGTGCACGAACAGAGAAGCAGTGCTGAGAAGAGGGCGCGGACATACTGTTGGAAAAGAGGTGACTTTTGAGCCGACTCAAAAGTCAGAGAAGCAGAGCGGAGAAGAGGGCGCGGACATACTGTTGGAAAAGAGGTGACTTTTGAGTCGACTCAAAAGTCAGAGAAGCAGAGCGGAGAAGAGGGCGCGGACATACTGTTGGAAAAGAGGTGACTTTTGAGCCGACTCAAAAGTCAGAGAAGCAGAGCGGAGAAGAGGGCGCGGACATACTGTTGGAAAACCCAACAGCCCCTCCTCATCCCCCAGGTCTGCCTGGTTTGGTTTGATGCCCGTGCCTTAGAGCCAGCTACGAACAGCCAGTGTATGTATATTATGACAGATACAAATGCCAAAAGTTGCTATAGCTGAACGAGCATACCTGCTGTGTGTTGATGTCGACGCCTGAGAGCCAGCAGCCAAAGCCTGGATGCGAGTGGTACCAGCCAACCACCATTTCAGGCCTGGTGAAGGGAAGAAGAGAAGGGAGAAGGGAGAAGGAGGAGCGGAGGGGAGAGGGTGCGTGCATTAGGAAGCAAGGGACAGAGAGACAGCCAGCAGCTGAAGCCTGGTTTGAGTGGTACCAGCCAACCACCATCTCAGGCCTGGACAAGGGAAGAAATGGGGGAAGGGAGGGTGGACTCAAAAGTATCATCAAGCCACAATGCCGCATCGGATGTTAAAGCACATCGGCAAACTTTGCCGTTGCTGCTGGCCGCTCCCACTGTCGTGGCCGATGCTGCCCGCCCCTCTGTACCTGCCCATGTGTTTTCACCTGTCCGTCTGCTTGCAAACATCTTTTCACCTGCCCGTTTGTTTGAGCGTGTCGAGCATCTTGGTGTAAAAAACTGGATCTACCGCCTCGACACTCACGCCTGTTCCGCGCTGAGGCATGGCGAACACATCAACCACTCAATTCCTTTCCGACCAGCCTACCTGTAATTTCACCTGCCTGTCTATTTGAAAACATTATTTCACCTGCCCGTCTGCTCTTCTCACCTGCCCGTCTGCTCTTCTCACCTGCCCATCTGCTCTTCTCACCTGCCCGTCTGCTCTTCTCACCTGCCCGTCTGCTTGAGCATGTCGAGCATCTTAGTTTGAAAAACTGGGTCCACCGCCTCGACGCTCACGCCCGTGCCGCTCTGAGGCATGGCGAACACATCAACCACCCGGACAGTATAGTCGTCCACAAACTCGCCCAGCATCAGACCCATGACCTCCATGGGCACTCCCGCTCGACCTGACAAGGTGGGTGGGGCAAGGAGAGAGCACAAGGGAACAAAGCCGCTCTGAGGCATGGCGAACACATCCACCACCCGGACAGTGTAGTCGTCCACAAACTCGCCCAGCATGAGACCCATCACCTCCATGGGCACTCCCGCTCGACCTGGCGGTAGGAGGAGAGAAAAGGAGAGACAATATGAGGCACGAGGCATGGCGAAGACGTCAACCACCCGCACGGTGTAGTCATCCACGAACTCGCCCAGCATCAGACCCATGACCTCCATGGGCACTCCCGCACGCCGTGCAAGGTGGACGGGACAAGGAGAGAACACAAGGGAGCGACACACAGCTTTGAGGCAGATGAGGCATGGCGAACACATCAACCACCCGCACGGTGTAGTCGGCTAAAAATTCGCCCAGCATCAGACCCATGACCTCCATGGGCACTCCCGCACGCCGTGCAAGGTGGATGAGCAAGCGGGAATCCGGCAATGTGTGGGGGGGAATAAGCACGCTTTGATGCATGAGGCATGGCGAACAAAACATCAAACACCCGGACTGTGTAGTCATCCACGAACTCGCCCAGCATCAAACCCATGACTTCCATGGGCACTCCCGCTCGACCTGAGAGAAGGGAGGGAAGGAAGGGACAGCACGTGTGGAAGGGAAAGAAACTGCTCTGAGGCATGGCGAAAACATCAACCACTCGGACAGTGTAGTCATCCACGAACTCGCCCAGCATCAAACCCATGACTTCCATGGGCACTGCCGCACGCCCTGAGGCATGCATGGCGAACAGATCAACCGCCCGGACTGTGTAGCAATCCACGAACTCACCCAGCATGAGACCCATCACCTTCATGGGCACTCCCGCCCGCTCGACCCGCAAGGTGGATGGGGCGCGGGGATACAGTGCGTGCGTGTAGAGGCATTGGTTATGATCTACGATTTCGAGACCTGAACAAAAGCCTGACACATCTGATTTGAGTAACTGACAGATCGGGTTCGAGAATTGGACACAGCCAAATTGAAAATGTGAAACGCAGATTTGAGAATCCGATAACACTCGGTTTACGCATCTCTACGAGAGAGCGCGACGATGTGCACACCTGCTCCGACATGCCATCACGGGAACGTCCTTAATCGCTGCTGATCCGATGGACCACAGTGCGTAGCTAAATTAGGGTAACTTTTGAGAATTCTCAAGAGTGAGCCCATTATAGTGCGTAGCACGGACCGTGTTCATAGACCAAGCTCGGACGTCTCAACTACGTGAACGTCTTTAATCGCTACTAATCTGACGCACCACCGTGTTTAAGCATCTTCGGTAGCGCGAGCGACGAGATGTAAACCTGCTCCGACGTGTCCACCATGCGAACGTCTTGACTACTAATCTGACGCACTACCGCGCTTAATTACGCACCGTGTTTAAGCATCTTCAACAGAAGGAGCGACGAGATGTACACTTGCTCCGACGCGTCGACCATCAGCACGTCTATACTCGTTATAATCTAAACGCAACACCATCCTAATGCACGCACCGTGTTTAAGCATCTTCAACAGAGCGAGCGACGAGATGTACACCTGCTCCGACGTGTCGACCATCGGAGCGTCCGGCTGGGGCCCCATGCCTCCCCCCGCGCTCTGGAATATCCGCTGCAGCCGCTCCATGATCTAAATCCGGCAAACGACCGCCGTCCGATCTGGGTTTGCGAATCTCCAAGCGCGAAGCCTGACAAACGACGGCCGTCGGATCTAGACTGGCGAATTTGCGGAATTCGTCAGAGCGCTTGTGGCATATGCAGCTTTCTCCACAGAGGACGGACTAATAGTCTGTCTGAGCTAGACTTGTGAAAATCTGCTGAGAAATTATGGAGACTGGCCTCACCAGTTCTGATTGTGTGCGCTTCTGAATCCCCTTCGATCTCTGAGCATGTTCCAAAACGCTGGTATTCCTCAATATCCTACCCAGCCAGTCTATACACTTTATTGACCGTTATCAAACGTGAAGCATCTCGCTGAGACGGATTCAGTCAAGCAGGATGTTACACGCGATATGGAGGGATCTCGTGACGCGCTACACGTAAAAAAATACTGGCAGAGTCATATCGGAGGACTACTACCGGTGCATACATGGAAGACAGGTTCATTGTTGTTGGACAAATAACTTTCAACACAGCAAGCACAACTCCAACGAAAATAATTATAAATTAAGACAATCTATAATCGAACTTGAACGCCTTATTTCCCATTTCCATACCCATATTTTCAACCCCCTACCTCCCCCGTCATTCCCCTTCCCCTTCCCCGTACATTCCCCACTCAAGATCTTTTAGTGCGCTGTGCTGCACAATTCTGTGAACTATCCTTCAAGCAAAGAAATTGCACCAGAGGCTCGTCCACTGGTAATCAGGTCTCTTATCAGGAATATTTTTTGCTCCGGGTTTGGAATGAAGCCTTCTGGGTCCAAGACACGTGGAACGATGCGATCACACACCAACGCAGCCGGCGTGGTTATCCCCTGCCAAAAATTGAGTCGGTAAAGAGCATGGCATGTACATTTGTTGCATATATTGTACGTACATTAGTGCGCAAGTATTTTTTAAGGTAAATGGGAAGGGTTAGGCTTTCCTCCTAAGTTCATGCAAAAACCCAAGAAGGAAAGGGAATGAAGAACAAAAGAAATAATAAACTCCTTTTAATGTAGGTGAAATTTACACACACGGATTGACTCATGTAACACTCCATGCACCCAATCCAACTCACCTTATATCGATTATAATTCATTTTCCTTGCAGAGATATCCACGCCTTCATCCGCCGGCTTAACAGCAGCGTGCGGCTGTAACACGTCCACGCGCCTGGGGTTGAAGAGCAACCGGCGGTAACCAGCGGTGCCCACGCAGTGGTCTATAGCTGAGGCGTTGGTGGTGGCGTGGGAGCAGGTGGGGGTGGGCATGCGATACACCATCTGCTGTGCCAGCCACTCCTCTCCTGCAACTGGGTTGGGGAATAGGGAGAAGGAGGCAGAGGAATTATGAGTGGTATCAATGGGTTCAGAGCGGTGCTTCTTTGGTGGTGGTGGCGTGGGAGCAGGTGGAGGTGGGCATGCGATACACCATCTGCTGTGCCAGCCACTCCTCTCCTGCAACTGGGGATTGGCGAAATGGGTAGGGAAGAATGTATCAGTGGTATCAGAGAAGACAGAGCAGTACTGTGGTGGTGGTGGCGTGGGAGCAGGTGGGGGTGGGCATGCGACACACCATCTGCTGTGCCAGCCACTCCTCTCCTGCAACTGGGGTGGGGGAAAGGGAGATAAGGTAGGGGTGTTAAGAGTGGTATCAGTGGGTTCAGAGCGGTACTGTGGTGATGGTGGCGTGGGAGCAGGTGGGGGTGGGCATGCGATACACCATCTGCTGTGCCAGCCACTCTCCCCCTGCAACTGGGGTGGGGAATAGGGAGAAGGAGGCAGAGGTATTATGAGTGGTATCAATGGGTTCAGAGCGGTACTGGGGATTCAGAAAGGGGTTCAGGAGGGGTTTCCAAGCGGTTTAAGAGGGTTTTCAGAGGGGTTGTGTGCGGTTGGAACACCTCCACGCGCCTGGGGTTGAAAAGTAACCGGCGGTAACCAGCAGTGCCTAGGCAGTGGTGGCGTGGGAGCAGGTGGGGGTAGTGCGGTGATGGTGCAGCGACATGCATCCATTGAATTGAATACCAACGAGAGCTCTTCCAACCAAAGGGAGATTGGAGAGTTGATGCATGCAGTCACCTCAGCGTCTTTTGAGACGTCTCAAAAGTAGTCTACTCTCACCAACAGCACCAGCACCAGCCGAATCAGCACCAGAAGGTGGGTGGTGCGGTGGTGGTGCAGCGACATGCATCCATTAATTCGAAGACAAACAAGAGTTCTTCCAGCCCAAGGGAGGTGGGAGAGTGGATGCATGCTGTCACTACAGCGCCTACTCATCAGCAGCAGCAGCAGCAGCAGCAGCAGCAGCAGCAGCAGCAGCACAGCTTGATGTTCCACTCGAACGACCCCACTGACAGCCACGGGGCGCCCTTGTTGACTTCTAGTGCCATGCGCAGTGAGAGGCTGCCGTTGAAGACAAACAGGAGCTCTTCCAACGAGTGGGTGGGAGATTGGAAAGCTTGGAAAGCCCAAGAATGGATTCGCCTCAGCGTCTACTCACCAGCAGCAGCTGCAGCAGAAGCAGCAGAATCATTAGCGGTACCAGCAGGGGGGGCACACAGCTTGATGCTCCACTCGTACGACCCCACTGACAGCCACGGTGCGTCCTCGTTGTCTTCCAGTGCCATGCGCAGCGAGAGGCGGCCGTTGATATTAGCACACATGGGAGCTCTTCTACCACAGGGAGAGGGGAGATTGCACACATGCTTTCACCTCAGCGTAACTCACCAGCTGCAGCAGAATCATTAGCAGTACCAGCAGGGGGAGCACACAGCTTGATGCTCCACTCGTACGACCCCACTGACAGCCACGGTGCGTCCTCGTTGTCTTCCAGTGCCATGCGCAGCGAGAGGCGGCCGTTGATATTAGCACACATGGGAGCTCTTCTACCACAGGGAGAGGGGAGATTGCACACATGCTTTCACCTCAGCGTAACTCACCAGCTGCAGCAGAATCATTAGCAGTACCAGCAGGGGGGGCACACAGCTTGATGCTCCACTCGTACGACCCCACTGACAGCCACGGTGCGTCCTCGTTGTCTTCCAGAGCCATGCGCAGCGACAGGCGGCCGTTGAAGACAAAGGGTAGTTCTTCTAATGTGACGAAGGTGGCCCAGCGGGAGGTGAAGCGCGTGCGGTAGAGGCAGTCGTTCGTTACAAGCACATCCAGCTGTGCTGAGAGGCTGTAGTGAAGGTGGGATGGAACAGACAGACAGAAAGGGGGGAAATACAAGGAAGACATCCGGGACGTAAAGCGCGTGCGGTAGAGGCAGTCGCTCGTTACAAGCACGTCCAGCTGTGCTGAGAGGCTGTAGTAAAGGGAGATAGCAGAGACAGAGGGACCGGAAGAAGGGCACATGGGGGAGGGAGAAATGGGCTGGTGACTTGACTTCTGAGTCGACTCAAAGTCAGCTGCGTTGGATGGAAGGAAGTGGTGAGAGTGCGATAGCAGAGAGAGAGCGACCAGAGGAAGAGAACAAAAGGATGGAGAAATTACAAAACCAAAGGACAGAGAGGAAGAGCACATAAGAATTGTGAGAAAAGGCTCATAAGAATGAATGAATGAATGAATGAAGAAGGGCTCTTTCATATGAAAGGCACAAAACGAAGTCTCGTTTTAGTAGACGAGCCTTAGAGAAAGAATGAAGGAAGACGAGCCTTTAAGAAGGGCGCACAAAACGAAGTCTCGTTTTAGTAGACGAGCCTTAGAGCTGGTTTTTGAGCCTTCAGGAAAGAATGAAGGAAGAAGGCGCACAAAACGAAGTCTCGTTTTAGTAGACGAGCCTTAGAGAAAGAATGAAGGAAGACGAGCCTTAGAGAAAGAATGAAGGAAGACGAGCCTTAGAGAAAGAATGAAGGAAGACGAGCCTTTAAGAAAGAATGAAGGAAGACGAGCCTTAGAGAAAGAATGAAGGAAGACGAGCCTTTAAGAAAGAATGAAGGAAGACGAGCCTTTAAGAAGGGCGCACAAAACGAAGTCTCGTTTTAGTAGACGAGCCTTAGAGCTGGTTTTTGAGCCTTCAGGAAAGAATGAAGGAAGAAGGGCGCACAAAACGAAGTCTCGTTTTAGTAGACCAGCCTTAGAGAAAGGATAGAGAAAGGGCTCATAGTGTTGTGCGTTAAGCAATCGTCCATTTTTTCACTTACTGTGACAAGCCCATGAGAGGCAAGATCTGGACCATCCCTGCAGTGACATACGGCCTTCAAGCCTGCCTCAGCAGCTCGTCCACTCCTCCCCCGTCGTACACGAGAAAGCTGTCGGCTTCGTTCTCTCCATTCCCTCCCTTCTCCCTTCCCACTTACTGTGACAAGCCCATAAGAGGTACGATTTCGACCATCCCTGCAGTGACGTACGGCCTTAGCGCCTGCCTTAGAAGCTCGTCCACTCCTCCCCCGTCGTATACAAGAAAGCTGTCGGCACCGTAATAAGTGAAGAGCTGAATCTGCTCCAGCACTCGCTCTGGCCGCACCTGATGGTGGGAATAGGGTATGCAAGGAGCGACGCAAAATAAACAATGAGAACGCTAACAAGGAAGCAGCTAGGTGACTTTTGAGTCGACTCAAAAGTCACCTCAAGGAAGCAGCTCGTCCACTCCCACGCCTCCCCCATCGTACACAAGAAAGCTGTCGGCACCGTAATAAGTGAAGAGCTGGATCTGCTCCAACACTCGCTCTGGCCACACCTGATGGGCATGGAAGAAGGCACATACATACAGCAAGTCAAGTCAGCAAGAGACAAGCCCGTCCACCCCAACGCCTCCCCCGCCATACAGAAGGAAGCAGTCTGCGCCACAGTATGCGAAGAGCTGAATCTGCTCCAACACTCTCTCTGGGCGCACCTGATGCGGTGACAGGGAAGGATGGGGGAGCATGGAGGGAGAGAAATACATACAGCAAGTCAACAAGGGACAGACTCGTCCACTCCTTCCCCATCGTACAAGAGGAAGCTGTCAACCAGCGGGGCAGTGGCATGTTTTTGAGACGTCTCAAAAACACTCTCATTTCACGAAGCTGTCAACCAGCGGGGCAATGGCGTGGGGGGGTCAAGAACGACAAGGACATTATCAGAACACATAATCGCATAGTAGCTCACAGCAAAGCACATTACCACACTGGGCAACACTGCACCGCACTGTATCCCGTAGCAGAGAACTCACCGGTTGGGTGATGAGTTGAGTGCAGACCGTTAGCCAGCGAGGGAGAGGCGTGGGTGGGTCAAGAACCAAAAGATCATCAGAGGACAAAGTCGCATAGCAGCATACAGCAGCAGAGCACATAACTGCACTGTAAATGCACAGCCCACATTATATCGCGTTACCTCCTGTACCTTACATTACTGCACTGTATGTGAACTCACCGGTTGGGTGATGAGTTGAGTGCACACAGTGAGCCAGTGGGGGAGCGGCGTGGGAGGGTCAAGAACCAGAAGGCCGTCCGAACCAGAAGTACGATTTGAACCGGAGACCTTTTTCGGAAGATTCTCCCTCCTGATAAGCACCTCGTCGCCGTGTATAGTGGCAAAGAGTGTCCCAGCTGCCAGGAGATTGCAACAGAGGACAGGTGGAAGCTTCTGAGGAAGAAAACAGCTGGGAAGCTTCTGAGGAAGAAAACAGCTGGGAAGCTTCTGAGGAGGAAAACAGCTGGGAAGCTTCTGAGGAAGAAAACAGCTGGGAAGCTTCTGAGGGAGAAAACAGCTGGGAAGCTTCTGAAGAAGAAAACAGCTGGGAAGCTTCTGAGGAAGAAAACATCTGGGAAGCTTCTGAGGAAGAATACAGCTGGGAAGCTTCTGAGGGAGAAAACAGCTGGGAAGCTTCTGAAGAAGAAAACAGCTGGGAAGCTTCTGAGGAAGAAAACAGCTGGGAAGCTTCTGAGGAAGAAAACAGCTGGGAAGCTTCTGAGGGAGAAAACAGCTGGGAAGCTTCTGAAAAGAAAACAGCTGGGAAGTTTCTGAGGAAGAAAACAGCTGGGAAGCTTCTGAGGAAGAAAACAGCTGGGAAAATTCTGAGGGGAATATCAGCTGGACAATACATAGAGAGGCGGTTCAGCAGCAGCCAATTAGTAGAAATGAACGTTAATGTATGAGGCATAGAACAGCCGATTTCAGCTTATACTGGAAGTGGGAGAGCAGACAGAGTGCACTGTATAATCACAGTCTCGTACAGTGCCACTCTGCTGGGGTTTGTAGACGGTAACCCGCTCACCCATAAGGCCTGCTGCTTCAATGACCGGGGAAGTGCCACTCACCAGAATCAGCAGGAGTGGGAGCAGACAGAGTGCACTGTATAATCACAGTCTCGTACAGTGCCACTCTGCTGGGGTTTGTAGACGGTAACCCGCTCACCCATAAGGCCTGCTGCTTCAATGACCGGGGAAGTGCCACTCACCAGAATCAGCAGGAGTGGGAGCAGACAGAGTGCACTGTATAATCACAGTCTCGTACAGTGCCACTCTGCTGGGGTTTGTAGACGGTAACCCGCTCACCCATAAGGCCTGCTGCTTCAATGACCGGGGAAGTGCCACTCACCAGAATCAGCAGGAGTGGGAGCAGACAGAGTGCACTGTATAATCACAGTCTCGTACAGTGCCACTCTGCTGGGGTTTGTAGACGGTAACCCGCTCACCCATAAGGCCTGCTGCTTCAATGACCGGGGAAGTGCCACTCACCAGAATCAGCAGGAGTGGGAGCAGACAGAGTGCACTGTATAATCACAGTCTCATACAGCGACACTCTGCTGCGGTCCCTAGATGGTAACCCGCTCACCCATAAGGCCTGCTGCTTCAATGACCGGGGAAGTGCCACTCACCAGAATCAGCAGGAGTGGGAGCAGACAGAGTGCACTGTATAATCACAGTCTCGTACAGTGCCACTCTGCTGGGGTTTGTAGACGGTAACCCGCTCACCCATAAGGCCTGCTGCTTCAATGACCGGGGAAGTGCCACTCACCAGAATCAGCAGGAGTGGGAGCAGACAGAGTGCACTGTATAATCGCAGTCTCGTACAGTGACACTCTGCTGGGGTTTGTAGACGGTAACCCGCTCACCCATAAGGCCTGCTGCTTCAATGACCGGGGAAGTGCCACTCACCAGAATCAGCAGGAGTGGGAGCAGACAGAGTGCACTGTATAATCACAGTCTCATACAGCGACACTCTGCTGCGGTCCCTAGACGGTAACCCGCTCACCTATAAGGCCTACTGCTTCAATGACCGGGGAAGTGCCACTCACCAGAATCAGCAGGAGTGGGAGCAGACAGAGTGCACTGTATAATCACAGTCTCGTACAGTGACACTCTGCTGGGGTTTGTAGACGGTAACCCGCTCACCCATAAGGCCTGCTGCTTCAATGACCGGGGAAGTGCCACTCACCAGAATCAGCAGGAGTGGGAGCAGACAGAGTGCACTGTATAATCACAGTCTCATACAGCGACACTCTGCTGCGGTCCCTAGACGGTAACCCGCTCACCCATAAGGCCTGCTGCTTCAATGACCGGGGAAGTGCCACTCACCAGAATCAGCAGGAGTGGGAGCAGACAGAGTGCACTGTATAATCACAGTCTCATACAGCGACACTCTGCTGCGGTCCCTAGACGGTAACCCGCTCACCCATAAGGCCTGCTGCTTCAATGACCGGGGAAGTGCCACTCACCAGAATCAGCAGGAGTGGGAGCATTCAGCGTGCACTGTATAATCACAGTCTCGTACAGTGACACTCTGCTGGGGTCCCTAGGTGGTAACCCGTTCACCTTAAAACCAGGGTGCACATTCAACGCGGTTCGGCTTGAGATGTTGGGAAGGGGGTTTGGAGAAAAACAGTGATTGGCTCACGAGGGGCGACAAAAAAATGATTCCGCTAGAGCTTCGGGCATTTCGTAGGTGGCGGGAGGGGGTGAAATGGCGGGAGTGGGTGAAACCGAATGGCGGGAGGGATGAAGCAGATTGGCGGGAGGGGGGGGAAACGAAATTGCGGGGGAGGGGGGAAACAAAATTGCGGGGGAGGGGGGAAACGAATTTCGACTTGAAGGGGTTGAAAGCACACCTCGTAACCCACTCAGTCAAGGGTTAACCTTTGATGCACATTCAGCTGAATGTGCACCCCGGTTTTAAGTCCATTCGTATCCTCTGGAAAATAATAGACCAACGTTCCCTGGGACAATGAACAGCGAGGGAGGAGGAGGCAGGGATCAGAAGTTGGGGGAACAAGGCCAGTGAGTTTCCAAGGTGGTAACCCGTTCGCCTTGAGTCAATTGGTACCCTCCGGAGAATAATAGACCAACGTTCCCTGGGACAATGAACAGCGAGGGAGGAGGACGCAGGGGTCAGAAGTTGGGGGAACAAGGCCCGTGAGATTCCAAGCTGGTAACCCGTTCACCTTGAGTCAATTGGTATCCTCCGGAAAACAACAGGCCAACGTTCCCTGGGATAACAACGAGGGAAGGGATGGTGGGGAGAAGAGGAGGTGGTGGGGTTGTGCAAGGGGGAGTGGTGGCGAGGCGGGAAGGACAATTATCACCGTCTCATACAAAGTTGGGGGCACCAGAGTTACCTGTGCTTAGAAAACAACTTTTGAGATGTCTCATAAGTCGACAACTATCACCGTCTCATACAAAGTTGGGGGCACCAGAGTTACCTGTGCTTAGAAAACAACTTTTGAGACGTCTCATAAGTCGACAACTATCACCGTCTCATACAAAGTTGGGGGCACCAGAGTTACCTGTGCTTAGAAAACAAGGGAGGCGGGCGAAAAGGGAGGGCAGGGAGGGCGAAAACAGGAGCCAATAGGAGCGAATGGATGGTTGGATGGGTGGACTTACCCTCCCCTCCCCTCCAGTGCCCATCGGAATAGCCTTGGGTCCCTCCAGGGAGATTCAGAGGCACGTCTCCTCCTTGCTCCCCCACAGGTACCTCCAGCGAGTAGGAACGTGCGCACGTGTCATTGACTCTCCATTCAATAGGATCCTGCCACGTGTCCGTTCCAGAATAGCCCTGGGTCCCTCAAGGGAGATCCACAGGCACGTCTCCTCCCTGCTCCCCCACAGGTACCTCCCTGCCCGCCCGTGAACCCAGCGCAGCAACCCGGCAGCCGTGTGGTGCGGTGTGGTGCGGTTTGGTGCGGTGCGGTGTGGATGGAAGGATGCTTTAGTCCTCACCGGAATAGCCCTGAGACCTTCAAGGGAGATCCAGAAGCACGTCTCCTCCCTGCTCCCCCACAGGTACCTCCCTGCCCGTGCGCTCAGCGCAGCAACCAGGCAGCCGTGCTGTCCAGTGCGGTGCGGTGCGGTGCGCATGGATGGATGAATGGATTGACCCTTCCCTCCCCTCCAGTGCGGACCGGAATAGCCCGGGGTCCTTCAAGGGAGATCCACAGGCACGTCTCCTCTCTGCTCCCCCGCAGGTACCTCCCTGCCCGCGCGCCCAGCACAGCAACCAGCACCCTTCCGGTGCGGTGCGGTGTAGTGCGGTGCGGAGGGATGAATTGACCCTCCAGTGCTTACCGTAATAGCCCTCGGTCCTTCAAGGGAGATCCACAGGCACGTCTCCTCCCTGCTCCCCCACAGGTACCGCCCTGCCCGCGCGCCCAGCCCCACGACTGCAAAGGCGGATGCGTGGAGGCGGTGGGACGAGGCGAAGATGAACGTTGGCATGCCGTGTGGAGCGAAGAGGGCTGGGGAAGAGAGGGGGGAGAAAGGGGAAGGAGGTGGTATTTTAAGCTGACTGAGCGACACATCGACACATGCAGGCGGTGGGACGGGGCGAAGATGAGCGTTGGCATGCCGTGCCGGGTGAAGAGGGCTGGGGGAAAGGAAGGGGGAAAAAAGATGGGGGTTTCGACGATGGGTGGAGAAGGGAGATAGCTTCCCACGTGCCCAGCCCCACGACTGCAAAGGCGGACGCGTGCAGGCGGTGGGACGAGGCGAGGATGAACGTTGGCATGCTGTGTGGGGCGAAGAGGGCTGCAGGGGATGGGGACGGAGGAAAGGGAGGTGGGGGCACCGATGAGGGGGGACAGGGGAGTGAGGTGGTATTCTGAACTGACTGCAAAGGCAGACGCGTGCAGGCGGTGGGATGAGGCGAAGATGAAGGTTGGCATGCCGTGTGGGGTGCTTACCTTTTGAGTCGACTCAAAAGGGGTGCTTACCCAGGGCTCTAACTCCACTCAGAGACATTGATGACAGGAATGATTCTCAAGCCGTACGTTTAGGAATATTCTGAGAGTTATTAGGGTTACGTTGAAGGGTTATTTTCGGGCTGGTACAGTAGCTGGGTGAGACTCGTCAAGGAAATGTGATTCCATTGAAGGATACGGACGATAGTGACTGTAATGCAGGATAGATAGGGTTATCTTGAGGATTGCTCGCGGGTTGGTAGGGTAGCTGGGTGAGATTCTGGCACTCCTTGGCGAAAATTGTGACTCTATTCGGGGATGCAGACGACAGTGACTGGATAATCAGGGTTACCTTGAGGGTTGTTCGCGGGTTGGTAGGGTAGCTGGGTGAGACTCTGACACTCCTTGGCGAGAAATGTGATTCCATTGAGCGAGACTGACGGGAAGAGTGACTTAAACGGGGTCGGTATTATCGAGGGAAGGGTGGGGTTGGGGAGGTACGAGAGCGACCGGCGGTGCCAGATGTTGTGCGAGACGAGCACGAGGAGACATAGGATGAATGAATAATGGAAGAGCGGTGACATGGTGTCGAAAGTCTCCGCGTAAAACGGATGATGTATCACACGCCGTAGTTGCTCCAATGAAACTCTTTTTGGAATCTCTGCTTAGCCCGCTGTAACACCCCCTCCCCCTCGTGATTCAACTCTGCCTGTTCAAGTATACTCTAAAGCACAATCAGGATGAAAGCGCATCACAGACGCCATTGCGGCGGTTGTCCCTAGGTTTCCCGCCAAAACGCCACATTGGGAATTTAGGACCAACAGTACAAATTTGGGTTGGTGAGCTTGACAGTTCGGGACTCCAATTGCTTGTGCCTCGGAGTGTACACACCCTGTTTTTCTTGCTCATTTGCAGGCGAATTTTCATTACCACATCTTTCTCCACTCCCACTTTTCACAAATAAAGGTTGCGACATTTGCAGAAACTATATTCCATCATCATCACAAGATAACCAATCTGTGGACTTCACAAATATGAACGCAATGCCTACGGGCAGCCGATTATTCCCGATTTCCTGGTTGAAACTTCGAACCAGGTCATCTGCTCTGACACACACTTTTGAAACCTCCATACCAGGCCAAGCGACCCGTTTTCTAGTCTTGGTCTTCACAAATCTAGTTCTCTCAGCTGCTCCTCTCCCATTCCCCTTCCCTCATTCCAGCTCTTTGCTCCAGCATCAACACATTCTTAGCTCCTTCCTCATTTTTGTCTAGATTGGTCTGTTACTGACCTCGTCGATTTCTTGAACTATGAAGAACTTTTTCAGTGTTCGTCGATCTTTATCTTCCGCTAGCTAAGTAGCGACAGTGTGCTTCTACGCGCCACCTTTTCTGAAAGCAAGTAAGCAGAGAAACTCGTTCTAGTCGGCGGTGATTTGTACTCAGAACTCGGTAGTCACTCGGTTTTACGCTCGCGTGCACGTATTCCCTGTACAACAGAGGTGTTTTGAGTCAAAATCTAGAATCGCATGCTCGTACTTCCTGTACAGCACAGCACGTCTTGCTTCGGTCATCCCGTCTAGCGCCACCCTTGAAGTACCAGACTTTCAAAGCCACGTCAGCATACATGTCGACATCCACGTCATCCGCCGCATCTCCACCGGCGGAATTGTACGAGCAATCCGTGGCGATCCTTACGCGTTTGACGGAGAAATGGAGCAACATGGAGGAAGAGGAAGCGAAGATTCGACGAGCAACTGAAGCTACCAAGAGGCTCGTGGGTGTCTGCGCTGAGAGGGAAAGAGCCATGGCCAGCCTGATCGACCGTACGTACCACAATTCCCCTTGCAGTCATTCTTTAGAAATCTCGAAAGGACGTGTACGAATGTGTGAGGTTTTCTGCAAATCCGTGGCGATTCTGACCCGGTTGACGGAGAAATGGAGCAACATGGAGGAGGAAGCGAAGATCCGACGAGCAGCGGAAGCTACCAAGAGGCTCGTGGGTGTCTGCGCTGAGAGGGAAAGAGCCATGGCCAGCCTGATCGACCGTACGTATGAATTCGCCGTGCAGTCGTTCTTTGAAAATTTCGTATGGTTTCGTGCGAACTTGTGCGAATCCGTGGTGATGTTGACCCGTTTGGCGGAGAATTGGAGCACCATGGAGCAACTGGTGTTACTATGCCTGATGCACCTGGTGTTCCTATGCCTGATGCACCCCTGTTTCGCCTCTCCATCGCAGGCTCGCAGCAGGTGGTGTCGGAGATGAGGGAAAGAGTGGGGGAGCTGCAGAGGGACTTGGAGGAGGATGGAATCCATCCGTGACAGCAATAATAACGGAGGAGTGACCGTCCCTTGCGTTTTGTTCCCTGTGTGTTGCAACCCCCTCTTGCCTCTCCTTTTCAGGCTCGCAGCAGGTGGTGTCGCAGTGAGGGAGAGAGTGGGGGAGCTGCAGCGGGACTTGGAGGAGGATGGATGCAATTCATCCGTGGCAGCAATAAGACTAGAGGAATGACCGTGCCCTGTGTGTTGGTGTCACCCCTTTTGCCTCTCCCTTGCAGGCTCGCAGCAGGTGGTGTCGGAGATGAGGGAGAGAGTGGGGGAGCTCCAGAGGGACTTGGAAGAAGACTCAGCGAGGGTAGATGAGGCGAAGGAGCAGAAGGGCGAGCAGGAGGCGGAGATCAACGCCCTCGTGGAAAAGGTGTGCGTGGGTTTAGATGTCATTCACAGACTATATATGCAATCCAGTCAGTAATTCCAGAGGGATTCGGAGGGGGGAGCAGCGAGAGGTGAAGGAGCAAAAGATCGAGCAGGAAGTGGAGATCAGCACTCTCGTGGAAATGTGTATGAAGATTTGTTTTGAGACGTCTCAAAGCAAATTTTCATACACGTAGCGAGAGGTGAAGGAGCAGATGGTCGAGCAGGAGGTAGAGATCAACGAGCTCATGGAAAAGGTGTGTGGGAGATTAGCCATGGACCGCAAACCGAGTGCAATCAATAGCTCACACCATGACCACGACCATGACGCACTCCTGGATGGTATGCACGCCACGTCCATGACGCGCGCACAAGAGTTGACTTTTGAGTCGACTCAAAAGTCAACATGGTATGCACGCCATGACCATGACGCGTACACGATAACTGCATGAGAGTAGGTCTGTTTTGATGCGTTCAACTCAGGGGAGCAGCAGAACGAGCACAAGGTGAAGATTAGTGCGCTTGTGGGTAAGGTGTGCAGGGGTGATATGTCGAGTTTTTAGTCGACTCAAAACTCGACTCAGGAGCGGCGTTTGAGTCGACTCAAAACTCGACTCAGGAGCGGCGTTTGAGTCGACTCAAAACTCGACTCAGGAGCGGCGTTTGAGTCGACTCAAAACTCGACTCAGGGGAGGAGCAGAAGGAGCACAAGCTGGAGATTAATGCGCTTGTGGGTAAGGTGTGCAGGGGTGATATGACTTGCACCGAATTAGTTCTGCTGCACAAGGTGGGTAAGGTGTGCAGGGTTGATATGACATGCACCGAATTCTGAGTTATCATGTGTTCACCGACTTTTACTGGCACGTAGTCTTGTCACGTGTTTGCTGCTGTCACACCTATGTACCCCGCCGGCTGGTGCACCCTTCTCTCTGCTCCACTGCAGGTGAAGGAGTATCAGACAAGGATCAGCAAGCTCGTGCGGCGGCAAGAAGAGCTTCGGGAGAAGCGAGCGAATCTTGAAGCAGATGCAGACCAGCGCACCACCAAGATACGGTGAGAAGGGGAAAGGGGATGGGTATAGACGGTTGGGAGGCTGAAGGAAGGAATTACGAGGAGAGCGAATCTTGAAGCAGATGCAGACCAGCGCACCACCAAGATACGGTGAGAAGGTGGAAGGCGCTGGAGAAACAAGGGGGGGAGGGGGAGGGAAGGAAACGAATTCTGATGAGGGGGAGTCGTGAAGCAGATGCAGACTTGTGCACCACCAAGTTACGGTGAGGAGGTGGAATATGCCGGGGAAAGGAGGTGGGCAGGAGGAATGGGGAGGGGGGAGAGGGGGGAGGGATTTTTTAATGAGAGCGAATCTTGAAGCAGATGCAGACCAGCGCACCACCAAGATACGGTGAGGAGGGAAAGTAAGAAAGGAGAAGGTGGGAAGGGATGGAATGGGCGTTTATTGTTTTTTTATATATATATATATATATACATATATATACATATATACCTGCAATGACAGCAAGCGAGAGTTGAGGCGGATGCAGACTTGCGCACCACCAAGATACGGTGAGGAGGGGCAAGGAAAAGGGGAAAAGAAGGATGTGTGTCTGTGTATGTGTATTTGTGTGTGAGTGTGCATGACAGGTGTCCATCCTTCCCCTCCCCACCTCATCCACCTCTTCCAGCCGCAGCAAGGAGATTGTTCCCTTCTCGGGCTTCACCAGCATCCGCCTGGATGTGGACGTGAAGGACCGGTTGTGGTGGCGTGTGAGATGATTGCCCATTCTCTCCCCACTGCACTGCACCCCTGCGTCTGACACCAGCAAGGAGATTGTTCCCTTCTCGGGCTTCACCAGCATCCGCCTGGATGTGGACGTGAAGGACCGGTTCGTCGGCACGTTGATGTGTGTGTTAATTGTCCATTCTCTTCCCTCTGCACCGCACTGCACTCCTCTCACCCACCAACAGCAAGGAGATTGTTCTCTTTTCAGGTTTCACCAACATCCGCCTGGATGTGGACGTGAAGGACCGGTTTGTCGGCACGTTGATGCACCCCTCAGGCAACCCCGAGCTCGCCAGGCCGGTTGACTTTAACACCTCTGCCGCCAACACCACCACCGTTGCGTACCAGCTCTGGAACATGGTATGAGTTGCGTACAACTCTTTTGGCACGTTGGTGCACCCCTCAGGCAACCCCGGGCTCGCCAGGCCCGTTGACTTTGACACCTCTGCTGCCAACACCACTACTGTCGCCTACCAGCTTTGGAACATGATTTGAGCATCATAGATTCACCCCTCAGGTGTATAGTTTGACACCCCTCAGGCAACCCCGGGCTCGCCAGGCCAGTTGACTTAGACACCTCTGCCGCCAACACCACCACCGTCACGTACCAGCACTGGAACATGATATGAGTAGCTTACTCTTTTGAGGCGCCTCAGAAGCTCGCCAGGCCCATTGACTTTAACACCTCTGCCGCCAACACCACCACCGTCGCGTACCAGCTGTGGAACATGATATGAGCATTATATACTTCTGAATGGTTCTTTGGCACAATCACTCACGTTGAAAGCACTATTGGCTAAGGCCACCTATCGTTTCCAATAGACTTGGCCATCAGTAGATATTAGTCTTCCAATATCGTCATTGCCAGCAATTTATATCAGCAGTGGCGAACTAGAGGGCTGTGAAAAAAATGTTTTTTTACTACAATCTGAGCCAAACGATTGTTGATTCGGCTTGTGTACAGTAATCAGATGGCGCTCATTGGCGCTCTGCTACACCAGCACCACAGTGGGGCACAGCTGGACATTAAGATATTATCTAAATCCATTCCATTATTTCATTGATCAACATAGGGCACCCAACACATTCTCGGCGATATCAATCTTGGCAGGAGAACCTAGTAGCGATCCACGCGTTCGTGTTTTTTGCTGAAATCTCTGTACCTGCATGCATCCCTTGCCAAAATATGTTCCGCAAGATTTCCCGAAGGCATATTTTCCCGAGCTGATTACCTTCTCAGAATCTTTGCAGAGCCGATTATCATGGCTTCTGCTTCATCATCTGCTAATAATGCATCAGTGCTACTGTGCTCCTTGGCCTTCGTCATTCTCTTCCTATCAGCGTCCGCTAAGGCCGGGAATCTGACAACCGTGTTGACACCATTCGACGAAGCAGTTCAGAAGCTCAACGCTTCAGGCTACACAAGTTTTGTGTCCCTGGTCAAGCTTTACGGTACACAGAAACTGATGTCTTTTTTCCAACGAAAAGTACGCCGACGGACGTGTCTAACAATTCCGTTTCAAACAGGAAATCGGAAGGAGATAACAGATGCGTTGAAGAAGCCATTGACTATGCTCGTGCCAAGCAACGCAGCATTTGTGAAGGGAAACCTGACTCATTATAGCAGCATCAAAATTGCGACTCTTGTCTCATTCCACGCTCTTAAAGGCGTTTTGACTGATCTCCAGCTTCAAATGCTGAAGCCAGGAACTCAAATTCCCACCATGGCAACAGATGCGAAGACCAAGAAGCCGTTAATGCTTGTCAAGCTTTCAAAAGCCAGTACGACGAGCAGAGTTATTCTTCAGGGAAAGCGAGGCCCTACGAAAAGCACACTGATGATCGTCAAAGGTGATTTCTACGTGAAACCAGGGGAACTGGCGGTTCATACCACTGACGCCATTGCTCTCCCAACTGGATTCTAGTGGAAGAACTTGAAAGCTACTGAAGACCCTCCCAACCGGGACGGAGTGGAAGTTGAATGCATAAGCCAAGTGGCAAGATGAAAGGACTGTTGGTGACTAACCTCGGAACTTGCTTCTCTTCTCTGATAAGGATTGAAGGAACGATCGGATACTCCATGCAACTTACTGTGACATGACATCCATGCTTGCGCCTGAAAATAAATGAATCCACTATTATTTCGTGCCCCACACCATACACCTGAATAGGTGTACAACTTAGAATAAGCAACACTACTCAAAAAGGGTGAGGGTTTCTGGCATTTTCTCTACATCAGTCGACCCACCAGAAACCTCTGCCCTGGCCGGGCTAATTGCTGCAGCCATAAGGCTCCCTCCATCAGCATCTCCTTGCAACGGGGTTGCCTTCCCAAGAGGCGTGCTCAAGCCAGGCTGGTTCCCATTAGAAGCACCTCCATCTGTCACTGCATGATCTTCACTCAGCGTTGCACCAGCAATTTGAGAAGGAGCAGCCACAACCGTTGGATCTCTTGCAGATCCTCCACCTGAAGCCTTCGAATCTCCTGCGGCATGTACATCACCAACGGTTGGATTTTCTGGTGCCTGTGCAGCCACAATGGTCGGATCTCCAGATGTGGTCTGTGCAGCTGCCAGCATGGCTTCCTCCCTTACAATCACACTCGCAGGCGACTCGGGGAGCCCAGCCCACAGAAACCCCCTTGGAGAGGAGGTGGGGAAGAGAGGCGAATTGCAGGAGGAGAATACGGAGAATGGGGATGGTTGTGGGTACGGGACCAGAGGGGAGACGAGAGGTCGGGAGAAAAGGCCTGGTGTGTGCTTTGGGCTCGGACCAAGAACACCAGCAGAAGGTGCATTAGCACCAGCACCACTAGCCGCAGCAGCAGCGGCGGCGGCTGTATTGGTGGCAGCAGCAGAAGCAGGGCCAGAAGGTAACAAGGGAGGGGAGGGAGGGGTTGAACTGGAGGGGGAGGAAGAGGAGGAGGGGATGAGAGGAGGTTGGGAGGAAGTGAGAGGGCGGATTGGGGGAGGCGCTAGAGATTGCAGACGAGTGACTTGGCGAGGCCTGGGGGGGCGAGGCTTGCGGGGAAGCATGGAGGAGAGAAGGTGGGAGGAGGGGAGGAGAGGAGGCTTGCTGGTTGAGTAGGGGAGATGTGGAGGGACACTGGGTCGAGGCAAGAGGGGAGGAAGGGCAGAAGGGGGATGTTGCTGCTGCTGTTTTTGCTGTTGCTGCTGCTGTTGCTGCTGCTGCTGCTCTTGCTGTTGCTGCTCTTCCTGTTCTCGCTCCTGCTGCTTCTCCCCCTGTGCCTGGTGCCCATCTCGCTCTAGTGCTCCTAATGAGAACACTTCCTCAGCATTCTGCTGGATTTCCTGCTCCGGCTGCTGCGCCTGCTGCTGCAGCTGTTCCTCCCCCCCTTGTGCCTGCCGACCATCTCGCTCTAGTGCTCCTAGTGCAAACACTTCCTCAACATTCTGCTGCGTTTGCTGCTCCGGCTGCTGCGCCTGCTGCTGCAGGAGCTGCTGCTCTCCCTGTGCCTGCTGCCCATCTCGCTTTAGAGCTCCTAGTGCAAACACTTCCTCTACATTCTGCTGCATTTTCTCAAACTGCTGCTGGGCCTGCTGCTGCACCTGCTGCTGCTCTCCCTGTGCCTGCTGTCCATCTCGCTCTAGTGCCTCTAAGGATAACAACTTCTCAACATTCTGCTGCGCTTGCTGCGCCAGCTGCTGCTGTTGCTCTAACTGCTGCTGCTGCTGTTGCTGCTGTTGCTCCAACTGCTGCTGCTGCTGCTGCTGCTGCTGCTGCTGCTGCTGCTGCTGCTGCTGCTGCTGCTGCTGCTGCTGCTGCTGCTGCTGCTGCTGCTGCTGCTGCTGTTGCTCGAACTGCTGCTGCAGCTGCTGCTGCTGCCGGTGTTGCTCCAACTGCTGCTGCTCGTCCACCCGCATCCGCTTTTGCGGCGCCTCAAAGAGAAGCTGCTGCCCGTCTGCTTGCATCGTTCGCTCATCAACCCACATCCGCTTCCGAGGCGCCTCAAACGGAAGCTGCTGCTGCTGCTGCTGCTGCTGCTGCTGCTGCTGCTGCTGCTGCTGCTGCTGCTGCTGCTGCTGCTGCTGCTGCTGCTGCTGCTGCTGCTGCTGCTGCTGCTGCTGCTGCTGCTGTTGCTGCTGCTCTCCCGCCGCTTTTCTGCGACTAACGGCTTGTGACAATAGCGAAATGATGCCAGGATTCAGCTGGAGGCACATTGCCAGCCTCGAGCTTGCCACACCTCCTGTGCTTTCAGTTACCGCACTTCCCTTTCCTAAAGTTTCAGTTACTGTACTTTCTATTTCGACTTGTCCTGTTACTGTATCTCCTGCTCCTAGAAACCCTGTTTTGGTATTTCCCGATACAAAAGTTTCTAAAACTGTCGTTCCCGTATCAGCGTTCCCTACGATTGCTTGACGCATCAGTGCATCAAAATCGCCGTCTGCAAGGCCTTCATTTGCTGTATCTCCGCTGCTAGCAACCTCGGTAAAAGCAGCTGCGATGCTAGCATCTCCCATATTAGCAGCTTCAATATCAGCGCTCACATCATTCGCAGCTCTGGTACTAGAAGCTCCAATATTAGCAGCCCCGATATGAGCAGCTTCTATGTTTAATGCAGGCTGCTGTTGCAACGGCTGGTGTTCATCTGTGGCTTCTAAAGCTTCGCATGGAGAAGTTACCAGCTGCTGATTTCCGCTTGAGTTCGTCGCCCGAAGTTGCTGACGCTGCAGAACCTGCTGCTGCTGCGACGACTGTTGTTGTCGTTGTTCATGCCTCTGCTGCAGCTGCTGCTGCCATTGCACCTGCAGCGGAAGGGCCGCCGCTGCTGCCCCCTTCAGGTTTTGAGCCGACTCGGAAGCCTTCTTTTGTGTCTGCTGCTGTTGCCCCTGCCTCTGCTGCTGCTGCTGCTGCTGCTGCCATTGCACCTGGAGCGGAAGCACCCCACCGCCTCCGACTTGCGCCGCTCCGCCAGACGCCCCTCCTCCTCGCGACCTTCCGCCGACAGGCTCGACTCCCCCTCCGCTTGCCCTTTCCCCAGATTCTCCGCCCTTTCCGCGCGCCTTTCCCCCAGGCCCGCGCGCGGGTCCCCCATCCGCATCATCTGGGGCTGCGCCTGTGAGCTCTTGAACCAGCGACCGGAAATTCGCCACATCCGTTTGAATTACCTTCGCTTCGGGAACAACCGCTTTGGTTTGTTTCTTCCCAACCCCCTTGCCTATTCTCTTGGAGTTCTTATCTACACCGAGTCCTGCTGGATTAGGCGGTGCCATAACGGGAAGTAAAAATTCCGGTCTGCCCTAAAAAACGTATATGTAGAGGGGAAAATCAGGACGTTATGCGCTAGGGAGGAAGTGGAGAATAGTTTAGAATGGCGAAGGCATCGGATTGCACGAGAACAGGGTGGGTAGGCTCTGTACCCTAGAAAATTCGGCCTATTCGCTTGGCAAATGATACTGGAGAATGTGTAGCAAGAATGTTGCACATATATATTGTTACTGGAAACGTATGACTATTAATGTACCTTAGTATACAGATGGCACGCGACCGGTGGTCTGCACGCTGTGGACTGTACGGCGTGTTTCGCGGCGGGAAACGCAGTAGAGAGCAGCTGAGTAACAACCGAAACTCAGCGCTGCGTCTAATTAGTTTACTACGGACGTGCTACAATTTGTAGTAGAGCGATCGAGTTACCAGAGGCGTCGTAAAACAAAAGCGCATATTTCCACACTTTTCTAGGCGCGTCTGGAAACGCGTTTCAATGCAGTGGGCCCATTACGTTTTGACTCGACTAAAGCAAGGCAGCCATGGGAGAGGAGGAGACTCGCAGTGCAATGTACCCCTGTTCCCTCTTTCGTGCGGAACAGTCATCAGGGAAGACTCGCGCAAGCATGAATTTGCTGCAGGGCGGAAAGGTGGATGGCGGAACGGGGAAAACCGAAGCGGAAGGGCGAATGTCGGAAGGGGAATGGAGAGAGAAGAAAGGGCCAAGGCGGAAGGGGGAAAGAGGGTGCAGTGTAGAAAGTTGAAAGGCGGAGGGCGAAGGGGGGAGGGTGGAAGGCGAAACAGCCCAAATAGTCAACCCTTGGTTCGCTGCGGTAACTAGTTAATTGGCACATTTCAGTACGGTGCAGTAAGATTTCCTCGACAGGCCACCGCAGGGTGGACGCGCGATTTCGTGAGCATTGACCCCGCCAGCCTGGTTCTTGCCTGTGTGCGCCAAGGCAGCTGGACGCGGGTGACTGTCAGCGGACCCCTCGATGTGGTATCGTCTGGTCTGGGGATACCAGGTACAATCGACAAGGTACAAGAATCCCCGGTAGAACGAGTCTAAATCTGAAAAAAAATTAATGTACGCACTACACATTTCAGTTTATGAAATAATGTTCCCACATTTCAATTTGCTCACTGATTGGCTCATTGGATGCTTGGCCTGCACCAAATGAGTGTTCAATTAACGACAACAGTAGGTTATAAACCCCAGTTGCAACCAAGCCAAAAGCTCTACAATCAACAGGAGCACTCACTTGTGTTGGATGCTCCTTTTTCAGCAGAAATGTTGTTACTTAATTTCATACGACGACTGCAGTAGCATATAAGCTAATTAAGCCAAATGCTCGATAATCAACTGGTGTCCCTCACTAATGGGCTCCTTAGTGCGAACTGCCTGGGCCAACATAGGCATGTCCGTGGAAGCATCCAGGAAGTTGCTGAGGTAGAGCAGCAGGTGAAAGTCTGCAAGGCGGTCGGCCCATGGCTTGGAGCGGGTGCGATCCAAATGCTGCTTCAGGTCGTTCTGAGTGGGAAGAATCACCCTGTTCTCCACTGGGAAGGATGTTGTGAGAGGGCCCTGGGGGGAGCAAACAGGGAGGGGAATAGTAACACCAACATCGGTAAATGCTGCTTCAGGTCGTTCTGAGTGGGAAGAATCACCCTGTTCTCCACAGGGAAGGACGTTGTCAGAGGGCCCTGCAGGGAGCAAGCAGTGAGACTGAAAGAATGAATGGTAGGGAATGGTTTCCCGTTCCTGTATCTCATGCACAATCCCGCATTGCTTGATGCTAAGCAGCGAACAGCGAACAATCCATATCAAGCACACGTCTCACCTCGTGGTCGACACGACAATCTTCACAAGCATGAGAGAGAAGTCAATATCCACCTCGTACGTGTCCCTCCCAGCCACCAGCACCACCAGCACCACCACCACCATTGCCTCTCCTCGACTAGTGTACCTAATGCTGTACACCAAGCACTCCATATCGAGTACAACCCTTACCTGGTGGTCAACAATCTTAATCGGCATGAGGAAGAAGTCGTTATCCACCTCTTTTGTGTCCCTCCCAGCCACCACCACTTCTTTCCTCATTCTAGACACCTTCGGATCAACCTCTTTCTCCTCCTCCACTGCTTCCTTTCCAACGGCTCAGGCAAAAAGTACAGCAATGCTCCTAATCTGGTGATCCACAATCTTAATCGGCATGAGGAAGAAGTCATTATCCACCTCCTTTGTGTCCCTCCCAGCCACCACCACTGCCTGCTGTCCAGGGGCGCATGTGTGTCTCAATCACTCTATATCGAGTATATCTCTCACCTGGTGATCCACGATCTTAATGGGCATGAGGAAGAAGTCGTTATCCACCTCCTTTGTATCCCTCCCAGCCACCACCGTCACTGCCTGCTGTTCAGGAGCTTGAAACATTTGTGTCTCCAGCACTGATGCTGTGAATCGACCACCCTATAACGAGTACATCTCTCTCACCTGGTGATCCACAATCTTAATCGGCATGAGGAAGAAGTCATTATCCACCTCCTTTGTGTCCCTCCCAGCCACCACCACTTCTTTCCTCATTCTAGACACCTTCGGATCAACCTCCTTCTCCTCCTCCTTCTCCCCCTTCTCCCCACTCTTCCCTTTCTCCTTCTCCCCAACCTTCCCCTTCCCCTTGTCCCTCCCCCCGCCTCCCCCCCCCTCCTCCTCTTCCCCCTTCCCATCCCCTGCAAACCATCCTTCCCGGTACAGCTTCAGGCACTGATCGCTTAGTTGAAAGGCCTCAAAATGCACGTCCCCGCCCCCATCCCCCTCCTCATCCACTAAAAGTTTCACCAGCACGATCGCGAAGTACTTAAACGGCTCCCCTCCCTCCTCCTCTCCTTTCTTCTCTCCTCCTTCCCCTCCTGCCGCCCCATCCCCGTTCCCCCTCCCCCCTGCCTGCGCACCAGCATCCGCTGTCCCCCCAGCACTCGCCTCCCCCTCCCCGCCCCCCTTTCCCCCGCTGCTATCCCTAGCAGTGGCGCAATGAAGCCTAGCTGAAAGCAGGAGGTCGGAAGCAGATAGAGTGAAGGAGTGCTCCTGTGCCTGTTGATCCTCTGCGAGGGTTTGAGTCACGATGAAGCCCACACAGCGCATGCCCAACCCCGCTGCTATCGCCGCCACTGCCCTCTCTTCAGCTGGAGGGAGTGTCAGAGAGGGGTGAAAGAGGGAGCAAGGGAGGGAGGAAAAGGGAGAGGCAGGGGCGTGGGTTTGAGTCATGATGAAGCACACACAGCGCATGCCCAACCCCGCTGCTATCGCCTCCACTGCCCTCTCCTCCGCTGCAAATGTGGGGAAAAGGGGGATACGGGAGCGAGTGAGGCAGTAAGGCAGTGAGGGAGTGAGGAAGGGAACGAGTGAGGGAGTGAGTGATTGAGTGGGTGAGTGAGTGAGGGAGGGAGGGAGGGAGGGAGGGAGGGAGGGCATGGGAGGGAGAGAGAGTGAAGGGGTGTTCCTGTGCTTGTTGGTCCTGTGCGAGGGTTTGAGTCACGATGAAGCCCACACAGCGCATGCCCAACCCCGCTGCTATCGCCGCCACTGCCCTCTCCTCCGCTGCAGGGAGCGAGGGAGCGAGTGAGGGAGCGAGTGAGGGAGCGAGTGGGGGAGTAAAAGCAGGAGCGAGGGAGTGAGGGACCCAGTGAGTGAGAGAGTGGAGGAGTGAGTTGCACAGGCCTGCTCCCACCTTCGTTTGGGAAGATCTACAGGGTGTGCTCTGTGCCGTGCTGGGGCAGCTTGTAGATGAAATCCACCAGCACGTGCCCATCCTCCGTTGCTTGTGAACCTGTGTACATGTGAGTTTGCTCCCACCTTCATTCGGGAAGATCTGCAGGGTGTGCTCTGTACCGTGTTAGGGCAGATCGTAGATGAAATCCACCAGCACGTGCCCATCCTCCATTGCTTGTGAACCTGTGTACATGTGAGTTTGCTCCCACCTTCATTCGGGAAGATCTGCAGGGTGTGCTCTGTGCCGTGCTGTGGAGCTCATAGATGAAATCCACCAGCACGTGCCCATCCTCCCTTAGACGTGCGTATGTGCCTCCTTCACTTGAAAAGATCTGCAGGGTGTGCTCTGTGCCGTGCTGAGGCGGCTCGTAAATGAAATCCACCAGCACGTGCCCATCCTCCCGCACCTCCCAGGGTTGACGCGGCAGCATGTGAGTGTGAATGAACGTATGAACTACCTATGTGAGAATGAGCCTACTCCCACCTTCGTTTGAAAAGATCTGAAGCGTGTGCTCTGTGCCGTGCTGAGGCGGCTCGTAGATGAAATCCACCAGCACGTGCCCATCCTCCCGCACCTCCCCGAACAGGAAGCCGCCCCGCTTGATGGAGAAGGCCAAGCTGTCATGCACGTAGTGCTGGGAGAGTGAAGGGCGGGATAGGTGTAGGAAAATACTCGTTATAGAGCAAATCATCAAACAGGAACCCCCCTGGTCTGAGTCCTCAAGGACCTCCCCATACAGGAAGCCGCCTCTCTTGATGGAGAATGCCAGGCTGTCGTGCACGTAGTGCTGGGAGTGGGGTGAGAGGGGGGATGGGGTACGGGAGGGAGTGTTGTCCCCGTTATAGAGCACCTCGTTGTACATAGACTTCCCTAGTCTGAGTCCTGCCGCACCTCCCTGTTCAGGAAGCCGCCTCGCTTGATGGAAAACGCCAGGCTGTCATACACGTAGTGCTGCGAGTGTGAGGAGGGACGTGAGGGAGGGAGATTTATGGGAGAAAGTGTTGTCCTCGTTACAGAGCACCTCGTTATACACAAGCCCTTGTCTGAGTCCTCCCTCACTTCCCCGTACAGGAAGCCGCCTTGCTTGATGGAGAACGCCAGGCTGTCATGCACGTAGTGCTGGGAATGTTAAGGGAGAGTGGAGTTTGGGATATGGGAGGGAGGGTATGTATGAGCGTATGCCTTCTTCCTTTAAGTGAGTTGTCCCGCACCTCCCCATACAGGAAGCCGCCTTGCTTGAGAACGCCAGGCTGTCATGCACGTAGTGCTGGGAGAGTGAAAAGGGGTGTGTGTAAGGGAGGGAGTGGGCATACGAGGAAGGGGGTATGCGACGGAGTACTGTAAGCGTTACAGAGTAACCTGTGTGGCGAAAGAATGGAGCCTGGGACGGGGGGAGAAGGGAACGTGGAGCGAGCCTGAATCACAGCAATCCGGATAGTCAGCAATCCTGATTCCTAGGAGAATACTTTGTGTGACAGGAACCTCACCTGAAACACGTTCGCAGCGTCGCGATCGAACGACACTTGCTGGCATTGCGACGTCTCCTGTCGCTCGATTCGCATCTGTCGCGCGACCATGTCGCTCACGGTCATGTGTCGGCCGAACGATCCTGCGGGAACGACAGGCACCGGCGGCCCTGCGACAGTTCGCGAAGCACTGTATTTCGCGAACATTATGCTCCCATGGCCTATAGCTAGGGAATCTAGCGACGCGGAAGGATCCGCTAAGTCTTTAAACTTCTCCGGGTCGGCTGATAGGAGAAGGGATTGGTCCGTAGAGAGGATCAGATCGGCCAATGGGATCGCGAGCTGCTGCGAGATTTGCGCGCGGAGGCCGGAAACGGTGGCCTCTGATTCGTCCAGCTGGACTCGCTCCAGCCCGTCGCGGCTCCGTACGCGTAAGGTGATTCGTTTTCCCGCCATAACGTAGATAAAGAAAACGACTCAATAGGAATCTACCGAGGTATACTTAAGCAGGAGATGGTATTACGAGTAAGGCAATCCAGGAGGTTTTGAGATGAGCAGACCAACCAGCCAACCCCGAAACTGGCTTGCTCTCAGATGTGAATTCGAGGACGGGAGACGAAGAAACGCGAGAAAGAGTGGCAGGAGACTTGAATTCGGGCGAAACCACTAAGGGAGAGGCTGTCAAATCTGGTGCGAGACGATACGCAACCGAAAAGGCGGAACCTGAGGTCCTCGGAATGTGGAAGCTAGCAGGCTTCTGAAATTAGAGCCATGGGTGGTGAAGTGTGGTGGTGATGTTTTACACACACAATGAATCCCGCATTCATCCATGGCAGGGAAACAGATGCCAGAGAGGAGGAATGTATTGACGAGGATTTCTCAACTCGATACAACAACAAGCAGATTGGTGCACTGGCCCGCTAGAGCTACAATCTAGCGAGTGTTTATGATTCCAATGATACACAGCTGCAGATTAGAAGTGCACCACGATTGCTTGGAATGACTAGGTACATACTACCTGTCAAAGACCTTAATCAGCAACTGAAGTTTACAGGGATATTAAAAGCCATAAAAAAGTATCACCACATTCATAAGTACGGTATTATTGCTTCCGCAGCTGCGGCAAATGCAGCTACTTCTAAAGCCAGCATTAGAAGGTACCGTATCGGAACTCATGAAATTTTATGGCTCACTTCCAATATCGCCTCTCGTCCTAAGTGCATCCACTTTGTCAAGCAACACATTCAGCTGCCCCGCCAGCACCCTCCTTTGCTCTCGTCCATATTCGTTACAAGACTGCAACTTATCCAACTCTAGAAGTCCGTTCATGATTGTCTCCCCCACCCGAAGCTTCTCCTTAGGCTCGGCAACCAATCTGACTTGAAACTCCTCATCACCGAGCCTCTCCTCCATGTCCTGAGCCAGCTTCTGAAGCTCCTTGATTGTGTTCCCCACTTCTGAAAGCTCTGGTGTTGAGTGGAACAACCCTGGTGAGACATCTACCTCTCCTGCACCTGCTTTTGATGGTGTGACTGCTGATGCTGCTGTGGCTGCTTCTGCTTGTGTTCCAACAGCTGTGGCTGCTGGGTTCTTCAACTGATGCTCAGCGAATTCTTGCTTCTGTTGCCTTGCTTGTTCCTGTTTATGCAGCTGCTGGCGCTGCTGCCCCTGTCCCTGATTCCGCTGCTGCTCCTGCAGTATTTTTTCCTCGTGCTGTTGTTGCTGCTGATCGTGCTGCTCCTTCAGCAGTTGATTCCCCTCCTCATGCTGCTGCCGCTGCTGCTTATGCATCTCCTTTTTCTGCCTTTGATGCTGCCATTTTGCTCCAGGCCCTGCTGTTCCTGCCGCCGGCTTCGCTTGCGTCGTCTGCTCCCCTTCTACCGACTGTTCCGCGTCGCCAGCATGCCCTGCGACATCCTCGTGTCGCAGAGCCTCCTCGCGACGCACGTCTTCACGTCGCCCGGGCGACGACCCGAGCAAAGGCGACGTGAGGGGATCCATCGCCGTGCGACGCCACGGCGACATCTTGGCCCATCGCGACGTGTCCATCGCCGTGCGACGGGAATAAGGGAGGGGCGTGCCGCCCGTAGAAGATCCAATCTGGATCGTTCATCCCACCTGATGCTGGATTATTAGAGAAAAAAAGGGGGGTTCGACTTCACAAGTGTTAGGTCTTTTAGGGACACTGCCTTAGGAGGGTTGCCATAGGACGTCAAGGCACGAATCAACCTGGGAATCGGGATTTCCCGACGCCGTGAAAGGCACTTCCGATGCACATTCCTGAATGGAATCGTGAAGAAGCATGCAAAAAGCGTGCTCGATTTCCCCGACGAGACCTCGCATCGCGTGCCGCCCGCAAGCACCATTCATCTGAGGTGAGTGCATGCGATTTTAGGTCGTGCCTGAAGGCGCCGCGACATGGGTGCGGACCACGTGGCATCGGTCCTTAGACCGATGCGACTGCGAGTTTTAGGGGTATGGACAGACTGAAAACAAGACTAGAGGGCGCGTGGGCTCGGCTTGGAAATGAACCATGGAGAGCCCTGAAAGCGAAAATTCTTCGGTTGAAGCAGATTCGAATCACCAGTGGGCTTCGCACTCGGTGAAACAAATAAAACATTATGACACCAATTCATCTATTATAGTCCTATGCTGAACTTAGCACTTTGAGAATTACATGTAATCAATATGCATATGTTCCAATTTAGATTGCATAACACGACAATACATTGATACTAGCTACATACATTTTGGCCTGAATTGCTCCACAATGCCAAGCCCTAAGGTTCCAGGCTTCAACTCTTGACCTTTCAGGGTGTGACAGGTCACAGTGAGAGAACACTGGCCAGCTCAGCTTGTTGCATCCCCGTCTTGTCATCTACTTTCTGAGGTTCCGCACAGGACACGTATAAAGTAGCCATTGTGCTTTACCAGCTGCAGCACATAATTGCTTGCACTTTCTCAGTCTCACTTCGTAGAATCTTTCTCTCCCTCCTCAGGTGCAGGGAGAGTCAGAGCGTCCACCCGATCCAGCAGTTGGTTCAGTTTCCGAGCCATGTCTCGTCTCAGTGCCCGAACGTCCTGGTTCGTAGACTGAACCCCGTCCAGACGAAACAGCCAGCACATGATCGTCTCTGTCGTCCGAAGCTTCTCCATAGGCTCGGTAACCACCTTGGCTACAAACTCCTTGTCCCCGAGCCTCTCCTCCATCTCCCGAAGCAGCTTCCGAACCTCGACGATAGGCTTGGTCACCTCAAACGGCTTAGAGGATCGCACCTGGTGTCCTCTCCATGCGGACTGAATCGCCAATGCTGCTTGCTCGTCTGTCATACCACTAGAAGTGCTGCTAACAGCAGCAACGTTTAGTGAGGGTTGCTCTGCTGATGGTGCTGCTGGTTCCGATTGTGCTGATGCTGATGGTGCCGGTGCTGGTGCTGGTGCTGGTGCTGGTGCTGGTGCTGTTGCTGATGGTGCTGCTGGTGCTGCTTGTAATGCATCATTTGCTGCTCTTGCGTCAGTCACAGGAATCACCTTCACTGCCACTGGAGCTGAAGACTGCGTTTCCTGGAAAGACTGCGTTCTCCTGGGAGACCTCGCTTTCGTGGGAGGCGTTTTGGGCGATTCTTTGGGAGATGTTTTAGGAGATACTGCTCCTGGCGGTGGTGCTGCGGGCTCGAAGCCGGGCTCCGGGGTTGCGGGATGGTTTGGGGAATTCTCGAAAACGCCCTCGAAAATCGGCTCCAGCTCGGGCATTGACTCGTCGCTGTCGGAATCAGAAAGCGACTCGCTCCAATGCTGCTGCTGCTGCTTCCGCTGCTTTTGCCGGATGCCGTCATTTTGAGCATCCTTCTGCTTCTGCTGCTGCTGCTGCAGCTGCTGCTTCTCTTGCGCATCAATTTGCGCCAAATTTTCCTGCTGCGCGCGCATCTGCGCCAAATACTCTTCCCGCTTCCGCATCTGCGCCTGCTGGAGCGCGACAGCGTGCGCCTGGCGCCGCGCCTCCTCTTTCCGCAACTCCTCCTGTCGGCGCAGCTCCTCCTGTCGGCGCAACTCCGCGGCGTGGCGCAACTCCGCCTGGCGCCGCTGCTGCGCCTGGTAGTGAGCGACGGATCGGGAATCAAACGGGTCTTCGACAAAACCCCCGCCGCGCATCGCGGGGTGATTGCAGTGGCGCGGCGATGCTTCGTGATACCGGGGATAATAAGGAGACTGGAAGCCGGGCATGGAGTGCCTCGGGAAGATCATCTCCGGAAAACCGAAATCCATGATATTATCTCCTCTCTCTATGGATTAATTCTCGCAGAGCTCTGGGTGCTATACCACAAGAAGTGGAATCTAAAAACGGTTGAAATCGAAAAGCGGAAATGTACGTAGGAGGTCAACCGTGCTCGGGAATGCAGTCCTGGAAAGGTTTAGATGGCGAATTGCTGAAGAAAAGCTTTTGAAGGTTAGTGTCTGTCGCTGGAAGTAATTGAGTTGATTTGAGAATCAGGTAGTGAAGAATTTGCTGCCCCCCTCTCGGCTTTATACTTTCAGGGTTGCGCCACTTTCACCGCGCGCACCGCGCCCGGAAGGCTCGCGCACATTCCATGCGCGCATTCTCGAGATTTCGGGAAGGCGCGGGAATGCGCGGGAATGCGCGGGAAGGTTCTGGAACGGGGCGGAGCTGAAAGTCTCTCTCTAAGAGAGAGGGTGGGGGGAACTCCGCATAACCGCGTTGGAGGGAAAGTGCCTGCGGCAGGTGTGGTGCTCGCGCAAGGAGAGGTGACGCGGAACGTAGCGGCCCGCGGATGTGCGCGAGTGGCGGGAAAGTGAGGGGGTAACACCGCCGCCTTCGCGACGTCGCGAAGAGAATGTGTATAGCTTCGACAGAAGTTGAAAGACAACAAAATTATTAGCAATTTTACTTTTTTTTTTTTACAATTGAAGTAAAGTACAGGTCTTCAGCCACGGGTTTGAATGTGTAGAAGACACGAAAAGAAGACATCCCTAGAAATAGCTAGGATTGAAAAATGATCGGGCACTGATATATGCATCTATACCCGCTTCAGCTTCTGCGTAACAACTTTATCAGCCCAGGTGACGAGCACGCACAACACCACCACCCACAC